TTCTGCAATACCACAACTGTGATTGGGAAATAAATAAAGTATATATAAATAAATAAATGTAAGGACTGATTTTTACACATTAATTATGGCTAAATTATTGGACACCAGCACTCTCAGAATTCACGAAGTATATTTTCCATGGTCTAGAAAATATACTTCATGAATTAATAAATTAATAAATTAATTAATTAATTCAATAAATTAATATTTCTCAATATTAATAGTTCTATTTCCATAATAAATTAATGTTTCTATTAATATTAATAGAAACATTAATATATTAACAATAAATTAATATTTCTATTTCCATACTCCTAAATGGCTACAATTGACCAAATAAAGTTAAAACCACTAGTGAAGTCTGATGGGAAATTGAGAATTCAACCAGGAATGATTTAGCAGATAGTTAAGCATTACATTTACTCGGCTGTTGATAAACTAGAAAAGCAGGCATTAAAATTCTGAAAAACCCCATATAGTGGATTGAAGGCACCACCCTGCCCTCTCAGAATTAACTTTTGTTGGCTTCAAACTTATTTACTTTGGCACTGTCAACAGGACAGAGGGCAGGAAGTATACACCTGTTCACATCCCTGTTTTCTACTTAGCCTTACTTAAATAATCAACTTTTAAAAAATATTAAATAAAAGTATTACATAATAATTATGAGGTATTATGGCTATACCACGTTGTGTCATGTAGTTGCTGAAGATGCAGAGGGTGGGGGTAGGGAGTGGGGTGGGGGATTACTTTTCAAAAAGCTGAAATTCTTTCAGTAGGCCTTTTGATGTGTTTTTTTAAAATAGGCCATTTTGATATCTTTTTTTTGTTTTCAGAAAAAGAACTAAAAATATAACAAGAAAACCAGTGAGCAATGAAACTAGCTACTCTACTCAAAGGTAATGCTACCCCTCCCCAAAACAACCAAGGTTACACAATACATTCCTTTAAAAATATAACTGAAAATTGAAAGCAACCAAAGATTACAGAGAAGTAGTAACAAACAGCAGAACATGCATTTAGCAAAATAACTCATAACCCATATCCTGCTTTCAAGGATAAAGTAGCATATATCCCTTTTAGCTGTTACTATTTTGGTTTGATACAGCAGCAAAAAGCTTGCTTTGTAACAACAATAACTTTCTCCTTGAGGAAAGTGAGCAGGAATGCTTAGTGAATTATTGCAAGATTAATGACCAAAGGAACTGAAGCTGAAAATGAAGTAGAGGGCAGAAAAATGCACACTAGCCCACTCTAGCTAACAGAATTATGTCAAAAAAGAGTCTATTTTTAGTTGTAAATACATGCAACAAGGGCCTCCTGATGGTGCAGTGGGCTAAACCATTGAGCTTCTGAACTTGCTGACTGAAAGGTTGGCAGTTCAAATCCAGGGAGCAGGGTGAGCTCCTGCTATAAGGCCCAGCTTCTGTCGACGTAGCAGTTCGAAAAAATGGCAAATATGAGTTGATCAATAGGTACTGCTTCTGCAGGAAGGTAACAGCACTCCTTGCAGTCATGCTGGCTACAGGACCTTGGAGGCATCTATGGACAATGCCAGTTCTTCAGATTAGAAATGGAGATGAGCACCAACCCCCAGAGTCAGACACGACTTGACTTAATGTCAGGGAAAACCTTTATCTTTACTATGTGCAACAAAACGTGTTATTGTGGAATATGCCATGCCCTGACATATATGAAATCATTCTAGCTTTCAGCCATGATTTCTGTTCTCTATCCCAACATTTGAATACTCGGCATAATGTGGCCTGTGGACATGCTCAGGTTTTGATTGGGATGTTTTGATGTTGCTCTTTGGCTTCTTTATTTCTTCAACTGTTAAACAGTTCTTCAAATTTGGGAGGCAAGTCCTTCCTTCTTCTTCTTCTTCTTCTTCTTCTTCTTCTTCTTCTTCTTCTTCTTTTTACAATTATTCATATTTATTTGCACATGAAACCATGGATAACAGCAAACCCTGTATTTGACAATATGTGGACATAACATAAAATAGCACTGTAGACTCTAGAGAGGCCCAGAAACACTTGGGGAGGGGGTGAAGAGGATTTTTTTGGAGAGTGTTGTTGTTCATTCGTTCAGTCGTCTCCGACTCTTCGTGACCTCATGGACCAGCCCACGCCAGAGCTCCCTGTCGGCCGTTACCACCCCCAGCTCCCTCAAGGTCAGTCCAGTCACTTCAAGGATGCCATCCATCCATCTTGCCCTTGGTCGGCCCCTCTTCCTTTTGCCTTCCACTTTCCCCAGCATCATTGTCTTCTCTAGGCTTTCCTGTCTCCTCATGATGTGGCCAAAGTACTTCAACTTTGTCTCTAGTATCTTTCCCTCCAGTGAGCAGTCGGGCTTTATTTCCTGGAGGATGGACTGGTTGGATCTTCTCGCAGTCCAAGGCACTCTCAGCACTTTCCTCCAACAGAGGAAAGTGCTGAGAGTAGATTGGAGAGTAGATTGGTGAAATTATGGATGTCAATCCTCAGATAAGTGGTTGGTATGGCACAGAATAAGGAAATTTGTAATATTCATGGTGTAATAATTACCCAGTAATAGCCTTATTTCTTTGTGCCAGAGATATCTGAATCACTTTGTATCAGAAATACTAGAGATCTTAATGTTTCTTGAAAATGCCTCCCTAAGGAACCAAACTCTGAAGATTTCAGCTTTGTTCATTTGGTTTACAACCTGTACCTATTCTAAAGGATAAAGATCTCTATCAAAAATTTCTCTTTTTTGCCAATTATGTAATCATGTTTCGGGTGATAAGTTTCAGTGAGTGCAAGCAATATGAATAAAACATGACAAGCTACATTAAGGACTGTGCAATTATGGCATCTCCATTATAGCATCTCCCACAGTGATTACACAGATAAGAGCTACATCTGACACAGGAGGAGCATGAAAGAATGAATCTCCCAGGCTCAAATTAAACTTGGAGGTAAGTTTACACTGAAGTAAGGAAGAATTCAGAAGCAAGCCTATTAAAAACCTGGGGAAGAGGTAGAGACATGTGAATCAGATGGTCAGAATAAAAGTAGGGGTGGAGAGCCATAAAGCCCACTGACTTTTCTCATCTTCATCCCTGTCTTTGCGGCCATAATTTCACATCAATTTGACCTTTCTTCTAAGCATAGTTGCCACCAGATGGAGAATGTGGGCAGGGAAGCTAAAGATGTTCCTCTTCCCAACCCTGAATTTACAATTAAACTTGAGAGAGATCTTATTCATGAGGGGAGAGACTCAGTAGGTGGTCTACCAACAGGTTTGGATTCACATACCTTTACAGTGCCAGTTGCTTATTCAGAACCCACCACCCCAATATTTGATTTTTCCAATAGATTTTCCCTCAAGAATGTAGCCCTAGACATCAAAAGAGTCAACTTTCCAGGTTTAAAGTAATCTAATCAATCGGAACCCAAGGGAATTAAATTTCTCTAAAATGGTGGCTTTAAATCTGAAATTACAGTCACCATAATTTGTTGTTGTTTAACTTCAAGTTAACTCAGACAGTATTGTATTTCTGCACCAATGTCAACTTTTGTGGACAGGTGGCTGACTGGGTAGCGGAAAATGGTCAACATTTTGACCATTTTCCGCTACCCAGCAGGGCCTTCTCGGTGGTGGCCCCCCACCTGTAGAATTCGCTCCCTGGGGAAATTAGATCAGCGACATCACTCCTTTCCTTCAGGAAAAAACTGAAAACATGGATTTGGGACCAGGCATTCGGACAATCGTGCAGATAAAGAAAGGACTTTGAGAATGGCCAGGAAATGACTAATGGAATGGAATTTGGAACTCTGAAAGACGAACGCTGAGCATGTGAATAGTTTTTATATGATGTGATATATATTGATTGTTATGATTGTTTTAACTGTGAAAGTTGTTTTAACTATGGTTTTTGTACACTATGTATAATTTTTGTATAGGCATCGAATTGTGCCTTTTGTAAGCCGCCCTGAGTCCCCCCTCGGGGGTTGAGAAGGGCGGGGTAAAAGTACCCGAAATAAATAAATAAATACATTTTCTAGGTTACACCATTAAGCTTTATTTCTAGCATTGCAGAGGGATTAGTTGGTGCATGCTGGTAGAGCACTTTGATTGCCTCGTTGCTCAGTGAGAGGCCAAGCTTTTCATATGGTGTTTAAGGTGGCTTGTACGTTTTCCTTTGAATGAGCACAGGCTACATTGTCATAAGCATATTGGATTTCCAAAACAGAAGTTGTTGTGATCTTACTTTTGGCTTTCAGCCAGCTGAAAGAGCTTGTCATCTTTTTGTTTGATACATGATTTCTATATCGGTAAGAAGAAGAGTGCCCCCAGTGGCACAGTGGGTTGAAGCCCTGAGCTGCTGAGCTTGTTGACCGAAAGGTCGCAGGTTCAAATACAGGAAGCACTGTGAGCTTCCGCTATCAGCCCCAGCTTCTGCCAACCTAACAGTTCAAAAACATGCAAATGTGAATAGATCAATAGGTACCGCTCCAGTGGGAAGGTAACAGCGCTCCATGCGGTCATGCTGGCCACATGACCTTGGAGGTGTCTGTGGACGATGCTGGCTCTTCAGCTTAGAAATGGAGATGAGCACCACACCACAGAGTCGGGCATGACTGGACTTAATGTCAGGGGAAAACCTTTTACCAAGAAGCTTCCTGTCAAGATGTAGAATCATAGTTATGAAGATGGAAAATAAGGTTAGGATAGTAACGCATCCCTGTTTGGCACATGACATCAACTTAAATGGGTTGTTTTGGGAGCTGTTGCTGTCCAAGACAGTTGTCATTGTGGAGGAGCTGCAGGATGTTCACAAATTTATCAGGGCATCCGATTTTCAGGATTCCTTATTTGAAATGCTTTGAACAAGAAGTGATTTATTTCAGATTTTGGAATATATGTATTTGCTTATATATACATAATGAGAGATCTGTGAGATGAGACCAAAGTGTAGACGTGAAATCAATTTATGTTTCATATATAATCTTACACACATAGCCAGAAGGTAATTTTATACAATATTTTTATTTTATGCATGAAACAAAGTTTGTTTACACTGAACCATCAGAAAACAAAGGCATCACTATTTCAGCCACCCATGTGGACAATTCTAGAAATCAGAATTCCTGGTAAGTGATACACAATCTGTACTACCAACTTCAACTACACACAAAAGGTGTGTCTCCTTTGTCTCTTGCCTCTACATGAAAAACTGTCATTTTTCTATCTGAGAACAATTCAAATGTTCTTTAGTATACAAACTTTATACTGCTGCCCTATGGAGATTTTCAAGACTCTGTTAATTATGAGGTAGAACAATAACAGCAAGCTCAATACTTTGTTTTTATCAAAGCCATTTGTTCGGTTTAAGTTTTCAGTAGGTTTTCTAACCACCTGTGAAGCACAATATCTCATTACTTTAAATCTGAATGCAAGTCATTATTCCTAACAGCTACGCTCTGGAAAAGAAGGCAAACTGGAACAGAGCTGTGCTATATATTTCAAATTCCTCGGAAACCTTGCTACTTTTTGCTTTCATAACTCATGAAGGTTTGCATGTGGCACTGTGGGCTGGTGAAAATCGGAATGTTGAATCACTTGGAAGAGAAACTTCACTTGCCTTTCATACCCATCAATAGAGATCCTTTCATTCAACCCATGGAACCTGATTAAAAGAAAAATAATGATTTTTTTATACCAATCAGTATCAAATCATCTCCATTCTACTGTGACTATGTAATTAGCTGATTTTAATAGGTCTACTAAGTCTGTGAGAGTCAGCATAGTTTCAGTGTATGACTAGGACAGTGGGAGACCAGGGTTCGAATCCCCACATGGCCACTGAAATCCAGTGAGTGACTTTGGGCAAGTCACACTCTCTCAGCCTCCAAGAAAGACATTCTGTAAACAAATTCTGCAAAGAGAAATTCTGTGATAGTTTCATTTTAGGGTTGCCATAAATTAGAAATGATTTGCTGGCATACAACTAAATCTGAAGCCAACCTCAAGCTTCTGATTATGAATCCATTAAGTATGCAGTTATTTTTTTGTCAAAAATGTACATTTCAGTCCTCTTCAATTAAGCCTCAGGCCCCATCTACATTGCCATAGAATGTAGTTTGAAACTGCTTTGTATAGTCAGTATAGACATATATTGCAGTTCAGTCCAGTTAAACTGCATTATATGAGTCTATATTGTCCACATAATGCAGTTTCAAACTGCATTATATGGCAATGTAGATGCGGCCGAGTGGTTCACTGAGTGCAAAAACAGGTATCTGTAGTCATTTGTGTTCTTTAGACCCCATCTACATTGCCATATAATGCAGTTTGAAACTGCATTATATGGACAATATACACTCATATAATGCATTTTAACTGCATTGAACTGCGTGGACTCATACAATGCAGTTCAATGCAGTTAAACTGCATTAAGGAAATGCATAATATCTCAGTGTAAACGGGGCCTGTTTGGTGTAAGGTCTCAGGTGAGAAATTTGGATTAAGAGGTAAACCTCACTAAGAGTGTTTAAGAGCGTGCCTACATTAAAGTTAATGAACTTGACTTTCAGTTAATCATTTATGCTTTAACTAACATATGTACTCAATAACTTATTTACTTAATTTATTTAAAGTGTTTATTGTCTCTAAGTCTGCCAGGGACTCTGATAATGCTATGGGAAATTTGATCCATTGGTTATGTTGTGGTGGGATTTGCAGTCCAACAATGTGCGAAGAGCCACATCTTCCCCATTGCTGTACTGAAAAATGCTGCAGCAGTTAACAACATGAAACCATAGAATTGCACGGGAGGACCAAAAATGCTTAGCCATAATCTATTCTTTCAATCATCTACAGGGCAGAGGCAGTGGGACATACAGTAATGTGTGAATAATTAAATCCGTAAACATTTAACTCACAAATTTTAAGGGATGACTGTGTATCTCAGAAATATATTTTGAAAGTATGGTTATGCAAAAAAGGAAACCAAAAACAGTAAAATGAAAAAGATGGGGGAGAGGGGGAAGTACAGAGGTTATGAAAAAGGGATAGGGATATATTGTCAGATGCTTTCATGGCTGGGATCACTGGGTTGTTGTAGGTTTTTCGGGCTGTATGGCCATGTTCTAGAAGCATTCTCTCCTGACATTTTGGCTGCATCTATGGCAGGCATCCTCAGAGGTTGTGAGGTCTGTTGGAAACTAGGAAAAATGGGTTTACATATCCATTGAAAGTCCAAAGTGGGAGAAAGAACTCTTGTCTGTTGGAGCTGGGTGTGAATGTTTCAATTGGCCACCTTGATTAACATTTGATGGCCTTACAGTTTTTAGGTGTGCCCTGTTACTGCCTGGGGGAATTCTTTGTTAAGAGGTGATTAGCTGTTCCTGATTGTTTCCTTTCTGGATTTCCACTGTGTTTGAGTTTTGTTCTTTATTTACTGTTATAATTTTAGAGTTTTTTTAATACTGGTAGCCACATTTTCATGGTTTCTTCCTTTCTGTTGAAAATGTCCACATGCCTGTGGATTTCAATGGTTTCTTTGTGTAGCCTGACATAGTGGTTGTTAGAGTGGTCCAGCATTTCTGTGTTCTCCAATAACACAGGTTGGTTCTGTGTTCTCCAATAACGCAGGTTGGTTCAGCAGGTGCTCTGCTATGGCTGACTTCTCTGGTTGAAGTAATCTGCAGTGCCTTTCATGTTCCTTGATTTGTGTTTAGGCAATGCTGCGTTTGGTGGTCCCTATGTATGTGGTGGTCCATAGCTGCATGGTATTCGGTAGACTCCTGCAGAGGTGAGAGGATTCCTCTTGTCCTTTACTGAATGTAGCAAAGTACAAATGCCACATCCAACCTCTGAGGATGCCTGCCATTGATGCAGGCAAAACGTCAGGAGAGAATGCTTCCAGAACATGGACACACAGCCCGAAAAACCTACAACAACCCATATAGGGATATTCTTTGAATTTTTATTTTCATATATCATTGTGGTTTGAATAGAATCTTAATGCATTTGTGCTAATATGAATACTTCCAAACTCTGTACAAAAACTGTACAAAGAGGGGCCTATATTGCTCTTTGCCAACTACCAACCTCTAACATATATTTGAAGTTCTGGCCATTTTCAAACTTAAGGATCAGGCACCTTGTGTTTTTAGGTACCTTGTGCCATGTGTAAGCAACCTCGAGTCCCTTCAGGGAGATGGTAGTGGAATACAAGAATAAAGTTGTTGTTGTTATTATTATTATTATTATTATTATTATTATTATATAGGAAAGTTTTGTTAGGATCTCTATGTCTGATGTAAATAAATAAATATAGTTTGTTTCCTTTTACTGTGTGTGTGAAGCAATAACACAGGGTGAGATTAAAACAAGCCAAACCATTTTTAGATCTATATCATAGTACTTCCTAACTGTTTTTGCAGGCACAGGTTGCCTCCTGCAACATGCTCTAAAACAGCCCCAAACATGGCTTTGTGGAAGAAAAGCTGGGCCTAGAAATACGATACTAATGCTATTATGGACCATAGGATTTTTGTTGCTGGCTTTAGGTTACACTTTTAATCATTACACTATGTAACAATTTTTTTTAAAATGTTCATGGTCTAAAAGTGTTATTTCCTGTTTAATCGTGCAGGACTTACTCTGAAAGTAGTTGTTATACTCCATACACCTTGTTTTTGTGGCTGCCACAAACTATGTTAAATTGGTTGAGACACTCTGAAATATTCATTAAAAAACTGTAGCAAAATGTGATGCAGGTTGTCTCGCCAAAAACAACGTTTTTGCAGTTGTATAAACTTTTCCCGTGTTTTTATGATAGAACCAATCAGGGAATGACATTTATAACTCAGGCTCAAAAATCGTGTTACCTTGTGTTATTATTTCTTTACATTAGGCTCACCTGACTATGGAACACTATGTATCTGTAACATAAGCCAGAATTGTTGGGGTGGGGGAATTCTTTTCTCATCTACATTTCCCAAAATCTTCAGGCCTGCCTGGCCACGGGCTCCAGTGATTGGAAGTTTTGGGAATTGCAATCCAAATAGTTGTGGTTTTTAGCTTTTAATATGTTTTAATGGTTTTTAACTCTGAATTTTTAATACTGTTATGTTTAATTCTGTTTTAAAGTTTGCATGTTTGTATATTTTAAATTCTGTGCTCAAACTTTTAATGTAAGTCACTTTGGGTCTTCTTTGGGAGAGATAAAGTGGGGCATAAATAAACATAAACAAAATAATAATAATAGTCCTAGACACTTGGGAAGTGTCCGATGTGTGAGCAAATACAACAGCCAGCATAGTGATCTTATTTGCCTTGTACTAATCTTGTTGTGTATCAAATAATATTTTCTCCAAGCTGTTCTCCAGGCAATTCAAGAGGGATAGGAATTGTCCTTCAGACAGAAAAGAGTTTTCAGTTTCTGTTCAAGATCAAGCTTTGTCTGACATCTTTTGGTTTAATTTGACTACAGTTTATGGAAACTCTTATCATTTTTATTGGTAAAGATTTATTCAGAGGTTTACCATTGACTTCATCAAAGGTTGAATGTGACTTGCCCAGGCCACCCAGTGCATTTGCATGGCTAACAGAACCTCGGTCTCCTGAATTCTTTTCTGAGACTCAAACCACAATATTATAAACCCATTCAAGGCTATAGAGAAGGGCTGCTCTGCATCCAGTTTCAATAGTAGCAATTTATTTGCAATGATAGTGAAACATTCGTGTTTATCTCCACGAGCTTTCACTAGGAAGAAATTATCAAGTAGAACAACTATACCTTGGTAAATCTGTGGGGTTGAAGAACACTGGGTTGAATCGATAAGCAGCGTTTGTAAGACTGGTGTAATGTCTACTGTCAGTGTTTCCAACACAAATACCTAGAAGAGAAAACATCAGTGTAACTCAGGAATGGCAGCAAAGAAGTCAATGCTACTTTAAGACAATTATAAGAATTAGATCTCAATGTTGGGTAATTTAAGAATAGAAAAAAGTATTTCCTACATAAATCGGCAACAACAGTTTAGCAGATCAGAAGCTTCTTAAACACAGCAGTAGAGCAAATGAGATTCAGCAATTATAGGAATAGGGTCAAGCTTTAAAAATTATGAGAGACTTTATTGAAAGAACTACATTTCTATATAGTAAAGTTAGGACCCATTTATCTATCTAGCTCTCTGTAGACATCTTCTCTCTATATATGCTTACAGGAGAAGCATAAAATGGAAGTCTCAAAGGCTTACTATGTGGCCAGGACACTTGGATAAAAAGAAGTGTGTCCGTGAGATCAAACAGCCCAACAAACAGGAGAGAATGAGAGAGAGAGAGAGAGGGCCATGGGGAAGGACTTTCTCTACCAGCTAACTCATCTGCCTATATATTTCCTTGATGAGAACTATAAACTTGTGCAGGATGTGACTGAATTTCAACACTCAAGTCCTCGGAGTCCAATTGCAAGTGCCAACTAGAGTAAATACACTATATCAATAGGTTGATCTATTATTCAGCAACTGATTCAGCTATTTCTTTAGTTGGAACTATCAACTGGATTTAGGTCCCAGCTGGGAGAAACATGCTGAAATGTCCTTAGGATGCTAATCAAGGTGTCCAACTGAATCATTCACACCTATCTCCAACAGACTCCTATGACTCCTACTACTCCCAGAATGCCTCAGTGTGCACATCCAAGGCACAACGCCATCCAGGCCTCCTGGGAGTCGTCATCTGGAGGGGCAAGGAATCGTCTCTGGACAACACCCAGCAGCCCCGAGCAACAGCGTGCCTTGGATGTGCTCACTGAGGCATTCTGGAAGCAGTAGTTCCCTGATTCTTATGGCTCGCAGAATGCCTCAGCGAGCACATCCAAGGCACCCCACCACCCGGGGCTGCTGGTAGTCATCCAGAAGTGCTTCCTTACACCTCCGGATGATGACTCCCAGTTGCCCTGGACGGCAGCGTGCCTTGGATGTGCTTGCTGAGGTATTCTGGGAGCAGTAGGAGTCAGGGAACTACGGCTCCCAGAATGCCTCAGCGAACATATCCAAGGCACACCACCACCCAGGGATGCTGGAAGTCATCATCCGGAGGCACTTCCTTGGGCCTAGGCAAGCCCAGTGGCCTTTGGAGGTGAGCGGTGAGGGCGGAGGAGGTCCTTGAAAGGAGAGTGGGGAGGGCCATAGGGGCATAGTGTTGGAAGAGGAGTAGTCTTAAATGGCGAGTATATCTCAAATTCTGTATTTTATCTTTAAAAGTTGGGGGTCGTCTTATACCCCCAGTCGCCTTGTATAGCGGAAAATATGGTATATGTGATAGCTTTGTATAAGCTCCCACAAATTGTATATGTGAAATTAGAGACTGAAGTCAAAGTACACTTGCCAGTTTTTATTAGTTTTTTTAAAATAATGCTTACTGCCAAAAGGTTCTCAGGTCCAAAAAGGGGGGGGGGGGAAGAGGAGGGAAAGCAAGTTTTTTAAAAAATCTGAGCAAGTGTATATGTGTTGTGGATGCTACAATGAAATAAAATTCAAAAAAATTAGAAACAAAATAGGGATTACTGAGCAGAAACAAAGAACAAAGTAATAACAATCATGCATTGCCAGTACCTGGAGCTATACTGCCAACATCTGGGAAAACATCCAGAATAGCCTGACGGAAAACCTGCACGCCGAAGGTCTGGTCATCCCAGGGACTAACTGGAAGTGGATCAAAAGCGTCCTCCAGTTCTATCTTCACTTGGCCATCATCAATTGTTTGTTCTATTATTTCCAAGACCTAAGAACAAATCCAAAAGAACAAGCGAGCCCATGTAGCAAGACGGTTTCTGTCACACAATTAACACAGATTGTAGGTCAACTCTGCAAATCAATTACAGCTTTCTAAAGGAAGTTACAGAGTCAGTATAGAAGCCAGTATGGGGCCTGGCTATTGAACTTTTTCCAGTTACACAACAGGATCACAAGTGTTAACAAGTTCTTGACAGGCAATTAATTTTGAGCAACCACCTCTAAAGACCCTCAGACCGTCTACATTTCTAATGTAGAGATCATTGAGAGATGCTAAAAATAAAATGAAAACAGAAGACAAGAAGACACATTCATTAGTTATTCCATCACTGATTTTAGAATAGGAGGGCAATTATTAAAGTAACTCTTTTGTCATTTGATATTCTTGGCCTAATAACTCAATTTATGTTTGTCAAAACAATAATGTATCGCTCAACAGTCTTAGTCTACAAAAGAGAAATCTATGGCTATTGTCTGCAAGGTCTCTGTCTCACTGCCAAATTGAAAAGACAACAATCCCAGACTTGACAGTTTATACTAAGATAAAACAAGGAGGGTGAAACAAAAATCACATTCCACATACCTGGTCAACTGTTTGAGCTGGATGAATGCGGAAATTTGCAGTTGCATTTGCAAACGGTGGAATGACATTGGACTTGACAAGAGGGAAGGAAAAGAGGCACAGAGAATAAGGGTACAATCTTCAAGCAACAAGCCAAAGATTTAAAGCAATCCATTGCCCACTAATTATTGTTCAAACTATTATACAGTCTTTAGTTTGTCTGTGATGCCTTATGAAAATTAAATGAGCCATGCATTTAAGGAATACACATTTTACTCTTTGCGCTTGAAATTCATTATTCCCTTTGCTCTTAAGTTATACTAACACAAAATAAAGTTCTGTTTTGCTGCTTTGGCAATGGAGGGATCCACAAGAGCTGTATCCTAGAAGCTTCAGGGTCAGGTTGTTCTGTCTTTAACTCATTTCTAACTTATTGCGACTCTTAAGGTGAATCTATCACTGTGTTTTCTTGGCAAGATTTTTTCAGAAGAGATTTGTCTTTGCTTTCCTCTTGGGTTGAAAGTGTGTGACTTGCCCAAGACTACCCAGTGAGTTTCTATGGCAAAGATCCCAATGCTGGTCTCCAGAGACCTAGTTCAGTGCTCAAAGCCCCACTTGCCTTTTTGATGCATTCCCTTTAAACCATATTTCATGCTTGCCACATGATTGGGGCAACAGTGCATTTAAAAGGCACAAGTCTGCCACCATCGGGTGTTGTTCGGGCTGCTTTTTAAAACAGAAAATTACAAATAATATAAGCCCAATGTGCCCTTTCTCATTCCGCCACTGAGTGTCACTGTTTAACTAGCACATCAAATAAAGCCTCTTAATGAAGTAGTATTATTTTGGGGGGAATTCGTTTGAGCACTGTTTCTTATACTGAGAGTCCTGGACCCAACTGGGATTTCCTTAGCTCAATGCACTCTATCTGGGGTTGCCTTTGAAGACTGTTCGGAAGCTTCAAATGGTCCACTGGGCGGCAGCCAGATTGCTTTGCTGGACCGGGGTACAGGGAGCACACAACCCCCCTGTTACATCAGCTCCACTGGCTGCCAGTCTGCTACCGAGCACAATTCAAAGTGCTGGCTTTAGCCTATAAAGCCCTAAATGGTTCCAGCCCAGCTTATGTGTCCAAACGTATCTCCCCGTCAGAGGGTCTACCCAAGCAAACCTTTTGTATTGTTACCCCAATACCCCCCATGCATATGGGATATATTGAACATGGTGATCAGATCATGATATGAATAAACATAACAGTTTAAATAATGTACCAGTAAGGCCTTCTCGTGGACCACCATGAGTATTTTGGGGGGGACTGAAGCCCCTCAAGCCCCTACCCCCACTCCCCGCTACATGCCTGCCCCTGTGAACCATCTCGGAGGTTAAGATTGCCCGGAGAGGCCCTGCTCTCGGTCCCACCTCCTTCACAGGCGTTACTGGTGGGGATGAGAGACAGGGCCTTCTCAGTGGTGTCCTCTTGTCTGTGGAATGCCCTCCCAATGAAATTAGATAAACACCCTCCCTCTTGGCCTTCAGAAAAAAGCAAAAATATGACTGTGGAAACAAGCATTTGGGCAGTAAGTAGGACAAGAAATGAATCTGGATTATTTGCAAATGTTATTTGATACTGGAACGGCCTGGACCATGCTTCTGGATTGGCTGATGTTAATCTTTATATTGAAGTGTTCTAATCCCATATTTTAATGTTTAATGTGGTTACATTTTATGATTGAATTGATAGTTTTATGTTACTGTTGTTTTTATGTTACATTTTCATATTTTGTAAGGCACTGAATTTTGCAGTGAATATGTTGGAAACTGCTTTGAGTCCCCCCAGGGGTGAAAAAAGCGGTATATAAATGAAGTAAGTAAATAAATAAATGATGGGTTCCTGAAAAAATCTGCAATAGTAAACAGGATTATAGATCTGTTGCCAAGTGGCTGTTTTAGATATTTACATAAATTTGATTGCGGTGTTTACAGTGGACCCTGCCAAAGATGCTTCAGATATACTTACTAAAAAGGGCAATCCATCTGTTTAGCTAGCCTTGCAGATGCTGATTTATTAGTAGTAAATCTTTGGTTTATACCGATTTTATATAGCTATATATTCTCAGGCCAAACAGGCTAGAAAGTTTAAGAAGCCTTGGTTTAAAGTACTTTATTTTTTTTAGAAACATTTGGTGCCAGCATATCAACCCAACTCATATCAACCCAACTCAGACCCCAACTCATCTAGGACCCAAATTTCCATTTTGTGGAGTGGAACTGCAGCTGGTTTTCAATCTTGAACCTACTGATGGTCCTTCAGAATGCCTGGATTCTTTCTCAGTCCCAGGATCAGGACTGTGGTCATTCAGCTACAGTGGCCACTTCTACACTGCCATATATATCAAAGTAGATAATCCACATGAGCTGCTTTGAACTGGATTATATGAGTCCACACTGCCATATAATCCAGTTCAAAGCAGATAATCTGGATTTTCTATGGCAGTGTTGAAGGGGCCTGCATGTAGTTTCCCAAGTGGTGAAATCATAACAACAGACTTTCATGTGGAAATCCTCTATCAAGATATACCTGGTGGAAGGGAACTATGCATCAGTTTGCACCACAGTGGAATTCTGACTTCACTGCTACATTCGGCATTTAGGAAGACATGCTAATAAGTAACTATATCATGCCATGCTATGTCAAAAATCTACTGTACATGTATCCAAACGTTGTGGCCTTTTAAAAAAGTCAGGATTTCTGCATTTGTTCAACCTCTCCTCTACCCACTTTTAGAACCTGTGAGCACCAATGACACACGAGCAGAGGTAAGAACTGAAACTGGCTACAGCTCTCTGCTTAAAATACATACATTTAGAGGCAAACTAGTGGTTCATCTTCTATCTAACCAGATAGTTATTTCATGCTATATATAAGGGGATGGGGTGAGAGGGGATGCATGCCCAGAGTCAATATGCTGAATTCAAGAAAAGGGAATAGACAGCCTGGAAGGAGAAACTGTCACTTGGAAAGGCAGGGAATGTATTCTCGTAATATTCACATTAGTAATCTGGGAAGGCAGGATTATAGGTTTGGGAAATGGAGACTCTCAATATACTTTAGGGCAGTGGTTCCCAACTTCTTCTTCTTCTTCTTCTTTTTTTTTACTAGGGACCACTTTTACCAGGGACTACTTGACCAGGGACCATTTTGACCAGGGACCACCTCTAACATTAGTACCAAAAGCATTATGAATCGGTTTTTGGTCAACTATAGATTCGATTTGGGGTGCTGATTCAGAAAATTGCATTGGATAAACCACATTAGCTCTAGTTTCTGATAACAAAAATATGCCATGGTCAGCAACAGGGAAGGAGTGGCAGGCAGTGTGAAAGGAGCAGAAATAAAATAAATAATAAAAAAATAAAGAGGAAGGAGGCTTGTGGGTCAGATTTTCATCCTCGTGGCCTACTGATGGTCTGTGGCCCACAGGTTAAGAACCACTGCTTTAGGGAAATCCCCTTAATTCATAGAATGGTACCTTGATTCCTCCATTAAACATAGTCAGTGCGGTAGTGGTCCGAACAAATGTATTTGTGCTGGGTGTCCGCTCAAGAAATCTGTGTGAAAATGAGGAATTTCTTCAAAATAAAATAATGTAGTTTTCCTTTCACAAATTAGGTACAATATTTTGGATCAATAAATATACATCTATCCCCTATGTTTGTGTGTGTTCCACCTGTATTTCTTTATTTGAAGGTTTTGGCAGGAACACCGCATTTCCACATACAATGTATTAATTATTTCTGATTGCTGTATGAAATAGTAAATTTTGACCCAGTGACTTGGATGAAGGAGTAAAGAGAATTCTCATCAATTTTGCACATTTTGCCGAACTGGAGTGGAGGATTGGTAACAGCTCATTAGATCGAAAATGATTTATAACAAATTGAAGAAATGGGAGAAAATAAGCCAATTGAATTTCAACAGACATAAATGTATGCTTTTATACTTAGGAAGGGAAAAATCAGATGTAGGTAATTTATGCTGTCCAAACAGCTATATTTAGAGGTTTTAGTAGACTACCAACTAAACATGAGTCAGTAGTGCAACATGGCAGCAAACTGATATCTAATTCAATCTTAGGCTGTGTCAACTGTTCAACACTTCCATCAATGGAAGTAGCAATAGATTGTTAATTTGGAATACTGTCTCTAGTTTTGGGCACCATTTTAAGGAAACTGGTGGGAATACATTTTATCATCTCAAATATACTGGAATTCCCATAGAATCAGAAAATAACCTGAAGTTATACTTTTTATCCTTGTGGATGTGTGTTACATAAATTAAATGTATTTAAATTAGATAATCTATTTAATTTCAGAAAATCTTGAGAGGATGAATAGCCCCATTCTTCTTCTATTTCAGTATATAATGTAGTTACATTCTGCCTGCATTACCATCTGTTAAGATAGTATATTATCTTCTTGACACTCAAATAGGTCCTCTTTTAGAATATCACAGAAAATAAATGTAATGGACATATTTCAGAAAAATAAATCCCTTATTGTTTTGCAACTTCCAAAAAATTATGAATAATGTAAAGATGAAAGCAGGTACTTCCAAGAAGGGAATGCGATAATGTATCCTGCCTCTTTCTTACCTGCCAACTAGAGGTGCAAATAGCCACAGATTTGCCATGATGATATTGAGAGGGAACTTAAACTGAATGTAAGAGAAGAAAACAGGAAAACATATCAGAAAATCTAGCTCTTAACAAAGAGTATGTTCTGAAATAACATTTCTGTTGAAAGCATTCTTGCAGATTATGCGTACAAAGCATAATCCAGACTATTTCTTCTATATGTAAGCCACCCCATCCACTTCCATTTGCTTTTGACTTCAGCGAATCTTATTTTGAAGTTATACCCAAATGTATAATAATTTATGCTTGCACTCTACAGCAGTATTCAAAGCTGGTTTGCCATCACATTGTAGTACACATTGTAGTACTGTTGGGTCAGATATAATGGCAACTGCTAGACTGATCAAACCAAGAACTAAAATGGCATAGAAACATGTAATTCACTGAAAACAAGTGGAAGGGCACAAATTGCTAAATCCTTACTTCTGGTGCCAATTCCTCGAACATCAAGAGTTCAGGTCCCTGACCAAACAGATTTGGCATTGGATTCTTCTCCAGCCTGGAAAAAATGCAGGACAAACAAACACTCCATTCATAATTTTAGCCAACTTAACAACTGGTGCAGTTATATAGCCCTTTGAGAGCATATTTTAATAATAGTAGTAGCAGCAACAATTTTTTGGTCCTTTAAAGAACTTAGATTTGTACACAACACATAAAATGACAACTCCTGCCTAGACATACTTGTAATCTAATAATGTTTCTATGAGTATGTTTCTTTAAACAAATGATAACATTTTAAATAAATATTCCACTGAAGCTTTCTCACCAAAACTTGTTTCCACAACAAGGATTTTTTTTTCAAAATCCAATTATCACAGGGACAGAAAGTGAGGTGAAATCTTCTGAACAGGAACACAGAGAGCAAAGCAAACACCACAGGAGTGTTGACTCTTCCCTATGCTACCCAAAGCTTGCTTGCTCTCTCTGTCTCTCTGTTTCTCTTTCTAGATAGATAGATAGATAGATAGATAGATAGATAGATAGATAGATAGATAGATAGATAGATAGAGGCTGGAGTTCCACTTTAAAATATTCATGTCCCTATTTACAAATAAAATCACATTAAGAACAAACCTATGGATCCTATCTTGTTCATAACTTGGGGACTGTCTGTACTTTAATCCATCATAGTAACTAATGATTTTGTTTAGATTAAGGCTATCTAGAAAAAAAAGTAAGATCTTTAAACTGTAATTTTGTATACATTTGCATGAAAAGAAGTCCCACTGAACCCGAAGGGACTTTCATTTGAGTAGATTTGTCCCGGAAATTTACTACAAGGACAAATACTCACTTGGACATTGCTTCAGAAAGAATGCCGATACTTGTTCTCTTAGGTGGTGCAGAAGAATGACCTGGTGATGATGTCACAGTGAAATGTGCTGTAATTGCACCCTTTTCTGTGAGGCCTATCCTGATAAGTGAGGAAAAATCATTGATGAAATTTCATAAGATTTTTCATTATCTTCAATTGGACAAATGTGCTTATTTTGATAATCAGGTCCATTATTCGCCACCGGTTGAGTGTATCATGGTGCACACTGTGCTTATGGTTTCTGATCAGTTCAGAACATTGGATTATTCTGTACCCCACTATAAGTCACAATATCAATGGGAAAACATCACATTCACTTTAGATTCAAAGATTCCTTGTCCTGTCCCCCCCCCCGCCCCACCGAGTAATATGACTGTTTCCTGTAAGAGCTGTGGTTCCCAACCTTTTTTTGACCAGGGACCACTCTCCAACATTAATGCCGAAATGATTACGAATTGGTTTTTGGTCAACTTTAGATTCAGTTCAGTTATTTGGGGTGCTGATTCAGAAAATAGCATTGGATAGACCACATCAGCTCTAGTTTCTGAACATATACCATCCAGTAAACGCCATCTGCTTGCCCACAGTAAAGCATATTTAATAATCTAGAGTCGCAGACCTCATTTTAGGTCTCACAGCCCACCAGTAGGCCATGGCCCACAGGATGGGAACCACTGTGTAAGAGGAACACCAACAGTCTAAGAACAGGTGTGCCAGGCACATATATATATTATTCCATAACTGGCAGTTATTTTGGCTAAAAATACCGTATTTCATAACATAGTAATCACACTGCTTAGCCCTTTTTTATTTAAAAAAGGGGGTGCAACTATTATCTGATTTAAAAAATCTGCCTTTGGTTCTCCAGTCTCTTGCCTCCAAAACAGAAGGAGGAGGGATGATCCAGCTTCAAACAGACAGCTCAGTTTCTGTTTGTTTGCTTTTTTGAACTGTCTTGCTTTGGAGGAAGAAGAAGGGTAGATTCCTTTCCTTTCCTTGTTTCTCCAAAGGCAGAGCAATTTATAAAATCTGAAATAGATCTCTTTGGAGAAATGAGGGAGAAGTGGAGCTCCAGAGACTTCAATTTCAGGTTGTTTTTTTTAAACTTTCCTTGCCTTCAGAGAAAGAAAGAAGGAAGGAAGAACCAGCACCAAATGTCTCTGCAACTATTTTGCGAGGAACACAAAAATACTGATTTTGCGATCCCAAAAATGGGGGTGTGACTATTATGCAGTGGTGACTATTTGGCAATGAAATATGGTATTTCTATGATCATTCTGTTATATTCATATTGAAGCAAAATGAAAGTCAGTAGTATACATTTTCAACATTCTAGATCAGGGACAGATAAAAATGTCCTGTCAGATTGTATCTGAATTGCTTGCATTTAATCAGGCATGGCTTTTGGCTTCCTGTTGTTGTTGTTCATTCGTTCAGTCGTCTCCGACTCTTCGTGACCTCATGGACCAGCCTACGCCAGAGCTCCCTGTCGGCCGTTACCACCCCCAGCTCCCTCAAGGTCAGTCCAGTCACTTCAAGGATGCCATCCATCCATCTTGCCCTTGGTCGGCCCCTCTTCCTTTTGCCTTCCACTTTCCCCAGCATAATTGTCTTCTCTAGGCTTTCCTGTCTCCTCATGATGTGGCCAAAGTACTTCCTTTGGCTTCCTATATGTGCAATAATGACATTGGGTTGTTGTGAGGTTTTCGGGCAATTTGTTGTGGTAAACTGTCATCTTTACTTACAGAGCTACAGGTTTCTCTATTCCTGTAACGACTCCATCAAAGATGAAGCTGCCCTCATCAAGTACAAAAGCAAGCTTCACACCTTTAGATTCCAGCTCAGCCACAATCTTCTTTGCTCCTTTTTTGCCACCTACCTGAAAAACACACAGCAATATGTTCTCAACACATCAAGCCACTACCTGACTATTCCGCATCTGGCATCAGCAAACATCCGGTATTTCAGTAGAAGAAAGCTATTATCATAAAATTATGTTCTACAGGAAATAGCATTTTGCCTCGAGATTCTTAGGTTTTGGATTATCTGTATGATCTCATTCAAAGAAATATATTATTCGCTGAATTCTCCTAAAGCCCAACAGGTGAACTGTGGCGATGAATGCCACAAATAAAGAAGAAATTGTCATAAAAATGTTTTAGCAGAATATTAGATCCTCCAGCAATAAATGGAAGTAACAGAGTACCCCAGTCTTCAGTTACAATCCCTGAATTACAGTAATTATTTCAACAGTGAAATGTTTCTTATAATGATTGATAGGTTCAAATCCAATGTGGAAATGATGGCATTCTTCACAAAATAAAAGACATGTTGCCAGAACCTGACTAGTCAGTAATCATTTTACTATTTTATTAATTTATTATCTGCAGACGACACCAAATTGGGAGGAATAGCTAATACTCCAGAAGACAGAAGCAGCATTCAAAATGATCTTAACAGATTAGAGAGATGAGCCAAAACTAACAAAATGAAGTTCAACAGGAACAAATGCAAGATACTCCCACTTAGGCAGAAAAAAATGAAATGCAAAGACACAGAAAGGGGGACAATGCCTGGTTCGACAGCAGTAGATGTGAAAAAGATCTTGGGGTTCTCGTGGATGAGCAAACAATGTCATGCGGCAACTTAAAAAGCCAATGGGATTTTGACCTGCATAAATAGAAGTCTAGTGCCTAGATCCAGGGAAGCCATTCTACCCCTCTATTCTACTTTGGTTAGACCACACCTGGAATGACACTGTGTCCAATTCTGGGCCCTGCAATTGAAGCGAGAAGTTGACAAGCTGGAATGTGTCCAGAGGAGGGTGACTAAAATGATCAAGAGTCTGAAGAACAAGCCCTATGAGGAGCGGCTTAAAGAGCTGGGCATGTTTACCCTGCAGAAGAGAAGAGACATGATGAAGGCCATAGATAAAGAGGTGAGGGAAAATTACAGGGAGGAGGAATCAAGCTTGTTTTCAGCTGCCCTGGAGACAAGGACGTGGAAGAATGGCTTCAAATTACAGGAAAGGAGATTCCACCTGAACATGAGGAAGAACTTTCTGACTGTGAGAGCTAATCAGCAGTGGAACTATCTGCCACAGAGTGTGGTGGAAGCTTCTTCCCTTGAGGCTTTTAAACAGAGGCTGGGTGGCCATCTCTCGGGGGTGCTTTGAATGTGATTTCCTGCTTCTTGGCAGGGGGTTGGACTGGATGGCCCACGAGGTTTCTTCCAACTCTATGATTCTACTGCAATGTATATAAAAATCTCACAGTATGATAGCACAATATCAAAAAGGTACTCAATAGGTAAACAGAAAAGCAATTGAATGCATCATTTCAGCCTCTTGGATGGACTGAGTTCCAGTGCTAAAATAAATAGATGGAAAAATTTACAAATATATACCTCTTCATCATGCCCAAGACCAATATAGAAACTTCTCTGAGGCCTGTAATTTCGTTTTAACAAGAATTCCAGTGCCTGTAGAATCCCCTAAGAATGGAAACAAATAATGTTAAATATCAAACTGTTCTCTATCTTTGATAAATAATCCTGACAATAAGGATTTGGAAGTACACTCAGTAGAATAAGATATGGCTACAAAACAATAGAACTACTTCTTCAATATACATCTCAACTGCATTTAGCAAGGCTTTTCATCTACTACAGTCAGTCCCCTGGTTTTGAACAAGATAAGTTCTGTAGGTCTGTTCTTAAGTTAAATTTGTATGTAAGTTGGAACAGGTACATTTTTAAGTGTAACTCCAGCCAATTTGTTTAAAGTTTTGGAAAGCATAGGGAAGAGTTAACACCACTGTGCCCTCACTTTCTGTCCCTGTAACAATTGGATTTTGAAAATTTGGGGTTATTGTACAAACAAGGATTGGCAATAAAGCTTCACTGGAGACTCCTCTTTTCGGTAATAACTCTTATAGAAGTTGATTTCCTTTTCTAGGGTTAGATTTCCTCTAACTTCCTGTTGTCTCAGGGGCAGGAAGTGAAATTATGGTAAATTTCAAATGAGGAAATAGCAGCTGAGACAGCATACTAACCAAAACTTTTTTTAAAAAAGCATGGAGTTCTACTTTAAATACAACTTAGATAGATGTTTATCTTAACATATTATTTACTTTTACCTTTGCATGCAAATGCTTAAACATTTTCAAATACCGCCAAAGGCCAAGAGCACCAGCTTCCTCTGGGTTTGTAACTAGGAGTCATATATAAGTCAGGTGTTTGTAACTTGGGGGCTGCCTGTGCAAACATGGGAGATTTAGGATTATAATATTTCAGAAAAATGTATGCTGCCTTTAAAATAATTTGGTATTTTAAATCCAAAAATGACCCTAGATTTGCTCAATCATGGACATTTTTTTTTGCTTTGATACCCCTATGTTGTAAGATACAACTAACTGAAATTAGTCATGAAACTTGTGAACGAAGTGCATGTGATATTTCGTTGCTCAAATCTATCACCCCAAAATACATTTTAGAAGTGACACGATTGAAGGTTTCTAACTGTAGGCCTGCTGTGATCTATCATGATTTTATTTCCTCAAATGGGTGCCCCATTGCACAAGGCTCATTTAAAACAGATGTTTAAAGCAGATTAAGGATTGTTGTGTCATTCTCCCCACTTACTCCCTTCCTGAACTCACCAGAATGGTCAGACAGTAGCATTTCAGCACCCCTGATACTACCATTAAAAAACTGCATGTTCCACGAATTTCTCTAAACTGTTTTAAAATGCATACAAATGAGTAGCCATCTCTACTTCTTGTGAGAAATTACATTTCATGCACATCTGCATCTTGCAAACATTTTTTGCTTTCTCCAAGAGTTGTTAAATCTATAACAAATATACCATAACAGAGTTTTTGTTATCCAATGTTCCTCTTCCATAGATGAACCCATCACGTTCTTCAGCAGAGAAAGGGTCGCTAACATCCCAGCCTTCTGGGGAAGCTGGGACTACATCTATATGGGCAAGCAACATGTAGGGCTGTAGTTGTGGGTCAGACCCTTGGACAGTAAACAGGTGGCTATATCCTCCAATAACTTGATGTTGGATGAATGTAGTAGAGAACACTAAAGGAAAGGCTTCATGAAAGAGAAAAACAAGGAGAAATACTTAGATTTGTTTCTAACATTGAAACATTAATTAAGGCAAATATTTTACAATGACATTTGAATGAATGAGTTACTGAAGGACAAAGAAGAAGAATACTGTATAGGTCTTTGGTTAGGGTTAGGGTTATACTAATAATAATTTATATGTCTAGAACTACACAGCACACATGCACATTAAGTCCAAGTGTGTCTGAATATAGGTTTCTTCCCAAGGGCCTAGGATATTAGAAATATTTTTGTAGAATATGTTGAGAAGTGCTCCCTTCTGCAACACGTGGATTGATGTTCTGTCCAAATTAAGGCTTTTCAAGTGCTTTTCAATGTTTCTTGGAATGCCTCCAAGAGCACCAACCACTATTGGTACCATTGTTGTTCTCTTTTTCCATACTCATCCAATTTCAATTTGTCAGACCTTATATACTCAGCACCTGGAGTTCTTTGTTGCAAATTCTGGAGTTTTCAACTCTGACTTTGATGGCATTTGTTCTAATGGCTTGTTCTTGGGCTGCCAGAATCAGGCCCTCCATCTCCTTTTTCAAAATTGTTGTTGTTGTTGTTGTTATTGTTATTATTATTATTACCCCACTTTTTGCCTCTAAAAATACTCAATGCAGCTTACAGCAAAATTAGTACAATACAGTTTAAAATATAAAATATATGAACATTAAAATAGAATTAAATATTAACTGTATTAAAAATAAACAGTTAAACTTCATAAAACAGGATTAAAAACCTATTCATAGCTAAAACCTATTCATACCCAAGTGGGAATCAAGGATTGGGAAATCTGCAATTATAGATTTATTTTTCTCTTGGCAAACTTCTGTAACTGTATTCAACACCAAATCTATGTTTTATCAGTTGCTCCACTGAATAATTAATGTCATTTTATCAGTTTAGTACTTTGGTCTTGACAGATAGGAGCAATAACAACAATAGCAATAATAAGCGTTATTTAACCATACAGCAAAATCAGATATAGAAAAAATGCCATTTTATTCTGTCAAGATCATAAATATAAATACCTTTACGAATATATGGTTCAAATTCTGCCAGGGCTGTTACATTCTGTTCATCTTCTGAGAAGGAAACGGTTTGTAATCTGATTGAACCTTACATAAAAGAGAAGAGATTTTGATGTTTTCACAGATAAGCAAAACTCTACATTACAACAATACTGCAATACTGCAATGAACTGAATCACTCCACCATCCTGGGCAAAGGCCTCTTTCAAGCTTTTGTTTTCTTTGTCAAAAACAAAACAAAACACAACAAAACCTGTCACATTCATTTCATTCCGTATATAAAGATGTTTTTATATTTCAGTAACTTCTTATCCACCTGTAACTGTTGTGATGCTGATGCTTTTTTTGGTCTAGACTTCTTTATAATGGCAGAACTGTATACCAGCTTAAGCAAAAAATATAACTAAAACTTAATTGGGAAAATCAGTTGTAGCAAGGGGGAATTCATCTTTTTGCTTGTTGCCTCTTCTGTTTCAACCTTGAGCTGAAGGGGCAGGAAAAACAAAGAGACTCAACAAAACACCAATCAACCTTTATAGAGAATTTCTAAATGCTTTAATATCCAAAACTGCCTGTAAGGGTGACTGAGGGTGCATCTACAATGTGAAATTAATGCAGCTTAGTACCACTTTAACTTTTGAGGCCGGTGCTATGGAATCTCATGATTTGCACACAGTTTGAAGAGGCACAAGCACTTTCGGTTAGCAAGTTCAGTAGCTCAGTGGTTTAACCCACTGTGTCACCGGGGGCTTGTTTTTAATACACTGTGTAACTGTATTGTATTGTTTGTTGTTTAAATTTTTTCTCCCGTTGTTTATATAGGCATTGAATGTTTGTCTGTTACTATATTGGAAGCTGCCCTGAGCCCCCTTGGGGAGATAGGTTACAATAACGTATTATTATTATTATTATTATTATTATTATTATTATTACAGAAGGCTCAAAACCTTATAAAATGACAACTCCTGTGATTTCATGGCACTGAAAGTGGGGTCAAACTGCATCCATTCAATTCCAAGCATTTCACATTATATATATATATATATATATATATATATATATATATATATTACTATCTCTTAAGACTCTATCTAATGTGGTTTGAAACTCTCTCAAAAGTATTCAAATAATTTATTTATTTATTATTTATGTACTATTTTTATACCCCGTTCCTCTCACCCTGAAGGAGTCTCAGAGTGGTTTACAAGTTTACAAGTGGTTTACAAGTTATATGTATATACAATATATTATTAGCAAAATATAATAATAATAATACAATATATTATTATAATTATTATTATTATTATTATTATTATTATTATTATAAATATAATAATACAATATATTATTATTGTATTATTAGCAAAGCCAGGGCCCTAAGATCTTCTGGGGAGGCCCTGCTCTCTATCCCGCCTGCTTCACAGGTGCGGCTGGCGGGGACGAGAGACAGGGCCTTTTCTGTGGTGGCCCCCCGGCTGTGGAACGCCCTTCCTATGGAGGTAAGATCAGCCCCCTCGCTAATGGTGTTCCGAAGAAGATTAAAAACTTGGATGTTTGAACGGGCATTCGGTTAAACAGTGCAATGAATGTGATGATTACAGGAATGGAAATTTGGATGACGGATTGGATCATGACTCTAGTTATGAGATGCATTGTGTTGTCTATTGTTGTGTCAATATTGTATATTATGCTTTTATGGTTTTAAATTGTGTATCGTTGATTGATTCTTATCCTGTTGTAAACCGCGTTGAGTCGCCTGTTGGGCTGAGAAACTGCGGTATACAAGTAAATAAATAAATAAATAAATATTATATATTACTATATTGTACTATACCACCATAATGCAATATTATTAGCAATATCACATGTAATATATAATATATAATTATTATATTATTATATTGTATTTTTATTAGTATTATATTACATTATACTGATCACTATTATATGTACATACAATATATTATATTGCTAGTATAGCACAATATTAGTAGTATATATTACTATATTGTACTATACCACTATACTGCAATATGGTTAGTAATATTACATGTAATATACAATATACAATCATTATATTGTATTATTATTAGTATTATTATATTGTTGTTGTTGTTCATTCGTTCAGGAGTAGGAGTTGAAGTCCAAAACTCCTGGAGAGAGGGCTGAGGTTTGTCCATGCCTGCAAGTGATTTCAGTATGGAGTGTAATGTTTTTGAATGTTCAATATGTTATAATTTTAATCTAATTCAATTTTAATTTTCTTTTGGAATTGTATGTATTGAATAATTGCCTCTATGTAAGCCGCCTTGAGTCCCCTTCGGGGTAGAGAAAGGCAGGTCTATAAATTGAGTAAATAAATAAATGTAGTGTCTCTATATTCCTGCAGAGCGGCTTGAGAAAGTTTGGCCCTCCCTCCAGGTGTTTTGCACTTCAACTCTCACAATTCCTAGCAGCTGGTAGGGAATTGAAGACCAAAACACTTGAGGGAGGGCCGAAGTTTGCCTATATAGTACCTATATATAAATAAATTATATATATATAAATCCAGACATCGTTTTCTAAGATCCACAGAGACACTCGCTGGAACACCTCAGCAAGCGAGAGTCCAAAAGTGGCAGGCTCAAACCCAGAACCTCAACCAATGGCTGAAAGCAAATGAGAAATTCCCCCCTGGGCACACAGAGGACTGGGCGACTTGCAAGGCGCTGAACAGACTGCGCTCTGGCACCACAAGATGCAGAGCAAACCTTCAGAAATGGGGCTACAAAGTGGAATCCTCGACATGCGAGTGTGGAGAGGAGCAAACCACTGACCACCTGCTGCAATGCAACCTGAGCCCAGCCACATGCACCATGGAGGACCTTCTTGCAGCAACACCAGAGGCACTCCAAGTGGCCAGATACTGGTCAAAGGACATGTAATCAACTACCAAACTCACACATTTTGTATTTTCTCTGTTTGTTTGTTTGTTTGCTTTGTTCTGTTAGAAATGTAATATAATTGACTGGCTGCCCTGAAACGACGGAGCTCTCCGCTTCCGCTTGTGGCCTGTAGGGGGCGCGAAAGGACAGCGCCTCTCCGCCTGCCGCTGCGCCCTCCCGTCCAAAGTTTCCCCCCCTTTCCCCGCCATGTTTTACCGCGGAGGTTCTCCTTCAGCGCCTGCTTTTCTTGGGCAGTGAAGAGGGGCTCGAGGCGGCGGGCGAGGGGCCCTCTGTCCCGCAGCGGCAGGCCCAGCGTCGGGGGCCGGGAGGCGCCATAGGTCCGGCCGAGCACCACCCCGACCAGGACCAGCGCGGCCCCCACCAGGCCCAGGCCCAGCGCCCAGAGCAGGCCTCGCAGCCCGGGCCGCAGCGCCGCCAGCCAGTTGGCCATCTCCTTCTCGCGCTCCAGCCGGCGCTTCGGGGCGCCTTTAAGGCCTCCCGGCAATCATTAACGAGGCAGGCTGTTCCTTCACCCCTCGGGAAGGGGAGGCGCCTTCCGCCTGGCAGGCCTCGCTCGGGAGCCCGTTGGGAAACCCTCTCCTTGGCTGGGGATGCACCCCATTCGCCAACCTGTCCCAGTGGCTGTGCGTGGAATAGGAACGACAGAAGCATTCCTCAGATTTCGTAATAACAGTTCATTGTCTCTTACCTGATCCTTTTGGGACCATATTTACATAATATTTGCACAATGTCTTGAAAACTAGTGAAGGCAAATGATTAGTAAGCTCATATTTGTTGTCTTTAGTAGCAATTCTATTCTTTATCCACTTCAAGATTGTTGTTTATTTGTTCAGTCGCTTCCAACTCTTTGTGACCTCTTGGACCAGCCCACGCCAGGGCTCCCTGTCGGCCGTCACCACCCCCAGCTCCTTCAAGGTCAAGCAGGGGCGGCTCAACCCATTACGCAAAGTAAGCATTTGCAGTATAGTTGATTTTGCCCAGGGGCACTCTTGGGGGAAAATAGACCTTGACATTGTGAGTTGTGCTTACTGGGGTGTATAGTTCGCCTACAATCAAAGAGCATTCTGAACTCCACCAATGATGGAATTGAACTAAATATGGCACACACAACTCCCACGATGAACAGAAAATATATATCAGTGATTGGTTGGGGGGGGGGGGGGAGCAAAATACTGTTTGTTTACTGCTGAAAATTACCTAGGGCACCTGTGAGGTCAAGCCAGTCACTTCAAGGATGCCATCCATCCATCTTGCGCTTGGTCGGCCCCTCTTTCTTTTTCCTTCCATTTTCCCCAGCATCATTGTCTTCTCTAAGCTTTCCTGTCTTCTCATGATGTGGCCAAAGTACTTCATCTTGGCCTCTACTATCCTTCCCTCCAATGAACAGTCAGGCTCTATTTCCTTAAGTATGGACTGGTTGGATCGTCTCACGGTCCAAAGCACTCTCAGAACTTTCCTTCAACACCACAGTTCAAAAGCATATATCTTTCTTCGCTCAGCCTTCCTTATGGTCTAACTCTCACATCCGTAGGTTACTATGCAGAATACCATTGCTTTAACTATGCGGATCTTCGTTGCCAGTGTGATGTCTCTACTCTTCACTATTTTATCAAGATTTTGCTCTCCCCCCAAGAAGTAGACATCTTCTGATTTCCTGGTTGCAGTCTGCGTCTGCAGTGATCTTTTCACCTAGAAATGTCACTGCCACCACGTTTTCTCCCTCTATTTGCCAGTTGTCAATCAGTCCGGTTGCCAGAATCTTGGTTTTTTTTATGTTTAACTGCAACCCAGCTTTTGCACTTTCTTCTTTCATCTTGATTAGAAGGCTCCTTTCAGCCATCAAAGTTGTATCTTCTGCATATCTAAGGTTGTTAATGTTTTTTCCAGCAATTTTCACCCCAGCCTTGCATTCATCAAGCCCCGCACATCACATGATGTGTTCTGCATACTAGTTGAATAGGTTGGGGGAGAGTATACAACCCTGCCGTACGCCTTTCCCAATTTTGAACCAGTCTGTTGTTCCATAATCAGTTCTCACTGTTGCTGCTTGGTGATGGTTAGGGACCACTTGTCAAGGGAATTGTCAATCGAATGCACAGCAGAACATCCACGTCTTTAGTTCCTTATGAAACGTGGATATTGAGGGTGCTAGCCTGATCTACCTGGGGAGGGAGTTCCAGAGTTGAGGGGCCACCACCGAGAATGTCCTTTCTTGGCTTGTTTTATGCTGTCCTGGAGACTAGGATACAGAACAATGGCTTCAAACTACAGGAAAGGAGATTCCACCTGAACATTAAGAAGAACTTCCTGACTGTGAGAGGCGTTCAGCAGTGGAACTCTCTGCCCTGGAGTGTGGTGGACGTTCCTTCTTTGGAGGCTTTTAAACAAAGGATGGATGGCCATTTGACAGGGATACTTTGTGCTTTTCCTGCATGGCAAGGGGTTGGACCAGATGGCCCATGTAGTCTCTTCCAGTTCTATTATTCTGTGATTTTATGCTTCAAATACACATTACAGGCAGTCCCCAAGTTACAAACATCCAACTTACAAACGACTCATAGTTACAAATGGAGGTGAGACAACAGGAAATGAGAGAAATCTACCCTTAGGAGATGAAATTCACTCCTGAAAGAGTTTTCATTGGGAAAAACTGTCTCTACTGAAGCTTTATCCCCAATCCTTGTTTCCATAACAAGCCAGTTTTAATAATCATCGTCATCTTTATTTATAGCCCACCATATCTCCCCAAGGGGACTTAGGGTGGCTTACAACAGTATAAAAGACAATGGCAAATATTCAGTGCCAGTGAAACATAACAAATCAAAAACAGCTTAAATGAGCATGACATAATACATGTAACACATTTAAAGTATTAAATCCATTAAAAACTCTTAAATCCAATTAAAATGTTTGGGGCTGAGATGGTATACAGCAGATTAACAAAGATAGATGTTCAACAACAGGGTCCCCGGGTGTTTTGGCCTACAGCCAGTTTACCAGCTGTTAGGATCTCTGGGAGTTGAAGGCCAAAACATCTGGGGACCCACCGTCTGAGCACCACCGCATAGTATGAATGCAACTTGACACTTTTAATCGCCCTGGCTCAATGCTTTCGAATACTAGGAGTTGTAGTTTGTCAAGCTCTTTAGCCTTTGCCAAAGAGGACTGTCGCATCTCCAAACTACAAATCCCAGGATTCCATACACTGAATAATGGTGTTATCAGGCAGTATGCATGCTTACAGTATAGTCGCATCCTAAATGATTCCAAAGTCCTTGGGTGAATCGGCACTGGAATTAATGCAGACTGACACCACTTTCACTGATATGGTTCAATGCTATGGATTCATGGGGGCAGTAGTTTACAAGATCTTCAGCCTTCTTTCCAAAGAATGCTGATGCCTCACCAAACTCCAACTCCCAGGATTGTATAGTACTGAGCCATGGCAATTAAAAGTGGTGTCAAACTGCATTAATTCTGGCGTCTGAGACTTTATCCCTCAAATCTCCTTAGAGCTGCAAAAGGGAACCACAAGCAAATCACATGGAAAACTCCCCTAACTTACTGAAAGGAATTATGGGGACTAAATACTCCAAAGACAATCACCCTAAAATGGAGTCCCCGGTGGCGCAGTGAGTTAAACCTCTGTGCCGGCAGGACTGAAGATCTACAGGTCGCAGGTTCGAATCCGGGGAGAGGCGGATGAGCTCCCTCTATCAACTCCAGCTCCTCATGCGGGAACATGACAGAAGCCTCCCACAAGGATGATAAAAACATCAAATCATCCAGGCGTCCCCTGGGCAACGTCCCTGCAGACGGCCAATTCTCTCACACCAGCAGTGACTTGCAGTTTCTCAAGTCGCTCCTGACATGACAAAAAAAAAATCACCCTAAAATAGGATTTAAAGTCTGTGCCTGCAGGATTCTGGGACTTGTAGTTTAGGGAAGGGGTTTCTCATTTTCAGCAAGATAAGTCCTGGGCTCATTAAACTAAAAGCCCCAGAACTCTGCAGGTTTTAAAAGGGATAGGAAAGTCCTATCTGGTCTTGGAAACTAAGCAAAGTCAGTGCTAATTAATATTTGAAAGGGAGACCCTCAATGGTATGCTATATTTCAGTGGAAGGAGTTGGCAAAAATCACAGGAATCCTGTTGAGCCACAGGCTGGGCTGGAAGGTTTGACTTAGGCTTCTGGCTCTCCTCATGGGGGAAATAGCTCAAGGAAGGAAAGAGGTGCTCTTTCTTCCTCTGTCCCCAACTTGGGGGACAAAGGAAGAAATGGCTTGGGGAGGGAAAGGGGTGCCATTTCTCCTCCATCTATCAGCTGGGAGGCGATCAGCTGTGAGAGGAAGGAGAAAGGCTTGGGGAGGGAAGCCCTTGCTTCACCATCAGGCAGAGACTAGTGAGTTCGCTAGTCTCACCCTGATGGAGGGGCAAAGCACCTTTTGGCACGCAGTTGTAATATGCCATCAAATATAATGTGCACCTCAATTTTGGCTAATCCATTAAGCTAAAAAAGATGTGAATTAGATTTGAGTAAATATGGCATATACCTTGGGAGTTTGCATGTTGCTATTGCAGTAGTCTTGAAAGATGGGATCCAAGTCTAAACATGAAATTCCTTTATGTTTCATACACACCTTATACATATTGCTTCATGCACTAATGAAAAATAGTATGCATATAATTAGCCTGAGAAGTGTTTTTTTTCTTTTCAGTTTTTAATGAAATAATTACCTATACCTAATGAGGTATCTTGAGAAATGGGGTCCAAATCTAAACACATTATTCATTTCTGTTTCTTATACACCTTCATGCACAAAATTAATAAAAAAATATTGTGCACAAACTTACCACCAGGCTATGTGTATATGGAGTATGGATGAAACAAACAAATTTTGGATATTCAATTTCTACTAAAATTGTTATTGAAAAATCACAAGTGGGTTTGGCTTTAAGTCCTGCAAAAACATGATATTAAAATGGGAGGAGTAATTCCACATAGTGGAAAATTGATAAGCAATGTTACAATTCTAAGGTTGTAACTCATAATTGGGAAAGGGTTGTTGCCTTCTTTTCTAACCATGGAATTCCTTTATGCATCTGTAGGTTAAATATTCCTAGCTTGCTTAACCTTTCTTCGTAGGGCTTTTTCCAAACCATTTAGCACTTTGGTCTCCTTTCTCTAAGCACATTCCAACATACTGATATCCTTGAACTGAAGTGCTCCAGGAGAAATCTGACCAAAGCAGAATAGACTGGTTCTGTTATTTCCCTTAATTAGTCTGAAAGAATTAAGTTGATTAATATGATTATCAGTGGAACCAGCAAAAAATTCAGACTTTGAACCTTTGAGACTAATTGAACTATCATAACCTATCTGCTAAGTGCATTCACACAGAAAGCTAGGATATTGAAGAAGAGAAAAAAATGTTCTTGAGCTTGGTGAAAAGCACTTGCAAAATTTTTAAGAAAAGAGGAGGCATATCATGGCTCATAAGTGATTTAGCCAGATGTCAGTTTAATAGTTGAATGAGTAAATTCCTGGCCATTGGGATACCTGTTGTCCAAAAACATCTGGACAAAAGTGCAATAGGCCTTCTGTAAATATAACCCAGTAGGACATGCTTCCAAAATACAGACTTGAGTGAGGTGAGGGGAAGTATGCACGTTTGAGGTGCAAACATGTAACATGTTGTGATAATCGGGTAGTGGCTGTGAATATCATTCCTTGATGCTGTTGCACATACTTGCAGCAAACTAAAGCTCAAAGAAAATAATGATGCTGGGGAAAATGGAAGGAAAAAGGAAGAGGAGCCGAACAAGGGGAAGATGTATGGATGTTATCCTTGAAGTGACTGGCTTGACCTTGAAGGAGCTGGGGGTAGCAACGACTGACAGGGAGCTCTGGGGTGGGCTGGTCCATGAGGTCACGGAAGCAACTGAACGAATAAACAACAAAGTTATGATCTAACTTTTGTGAGAGTGGTAGAGAACAGGTATTGGGCCTCCCTAACATTTTGTTCTTTAACATTCCTTAGGGGGGCATAACATCTTTCTATATATTCACTGCCTTCACTGCGAAGCATTTCATCTTTTTTACCCATTTCAACATGTAAAGAATACTTCTATAAAGGTACAGTTCTCTCCTAGCCTACAGTTAGCACGTTTATTTTCATTGAATTACCTTGTTTAGCATAATTATGCAACCTCTATGATTCTCTATTTAGGTAGTTTTCAGTTAACTTGGAATTACATGAGTCATGGTCCCACCAAAATTTATACCATTTTGAGCATCGTTACCCTCTTATAAAGGTTACCTAAGGGACAGGCTTCATCTATTCCAATCTTGTTGGTTTTAAGACCATTATATCTCATGCTCTGGTGTCTTGTTTTCCATGATAACAGACCTTTTGCTGAATACTAGAGACAGGGTCTGTTTGCAGTGTTTTCTGTGGAATTCCTTCTTGGGTCTAATTGGCTTCAGGCTCATCTTTATATGCACTGAAGTGTTTTCTGAAAGCCCTTTTACAATAGAAAAGCATTTTATGATTTCCTTGATTGTTAACTTGCTTGTTCCATTTTAAGTAATAGAAAAATAAGTTTGTATTACTTTAGAGATTGCTTTGATTTTATCGTTTACTTTGCTGTTTTATTATTTGTATGGCAATTATTTACAAGCTTGTAACAACTATATTGTGGACGGTCTCAAGTAGCAGTGATGCAAGCACACCTCTCTTTTCTTTCCAAGTATGATCATCACACTTCTATGTTTTTTTTCTAAATCCTGTGATGAATATATTCTAATGTTTAATACTGGATACTTTATGATTCTCTGTGCTCCTGTCCACTTAACACATTTTTTCCTAAAATAAATAAACTTTGGCAGTTTCTGCAGTCATGGGTAATTTAATGTTTTCTGTTGTGTGACCCTCGACAGATGGCCATCCAGCCTCTGTTTAAAATCCTCCAAAGAAGGAGCCTCCACTACAGTCCAGGGCAGAGAGTTCCACTGCTGAACAGCTTTCACTGTTAGGAAGTTCTTCCTAATGTTCAGGTGGGATCTCCTTTTCTGTATTTTGAAGCCATTGTTCCGTGTCCTAGTCTCTAGGGCAGTAGGAAACCAGCTTGCTCCCTCCTCTCTATTACTTCCCCTCATATTTATATATGGCTGTCTTGTCTCCTCTTAGCCTTCTCTTCTGCAGGCTAAAAACACCCAGCTCTTGAAGTTGCTCCTCTTAGGGCTTGTTCTCCAGACCCTTGATCATTTTTATCATCTTCCTCTGGACACATTCCAGCTTGTCAACATCTCCCTTTAATTGCAGTGCCCAGAATTGGACACAGTATTCCAGGTGTGGTCCGACCAAAGTAGAATAGAGGGGTAGTACGACTTCCCTGGTTATAGACACTATACTCCTGTCTATGCAGGCCAAAATTTCATTGCCCTTTTAAGCTGCCATACCATATTGTTGGCTCATGTTTAACTTGTTGTCCACAAAGACTCGAATATTTTTTTCACATATACTGCTATTGAGCTAGGCATCTCCCATTCTGTTAGGGTTCCTTGTTTGAGATCAAAACTCTGCCTTGGCAGATGGAAAGATTCAGTCTTTCCTGTGTTCCCTTTGGTAATGCTTCTTAAGTTATCTGATGTGGGAGACCTTTGTGGCTTTTTTCATCCCAATGTGATGTCCTCTAACATTTGCCCACATGGGTTTCAACTGTTTCTTGAAAACTCACCGGGGGCCAGCTGCCAGTGGTTCAGGGAGCAGCATCACTCAATGGACTTCCACTTTGAGTAACACTGCCTTATGGACCACTGTCTTTTAAGAACTAAAACATTGCACTGTAAATTATTTCCTGTATATCTTTTCAAATGTTTTGCTTGGAAATGCTTCTGGAGATGAAGTATGACACAGAACTAAATTAAAGAAAGTCTGCTATTGCAATCCAGGATGTGTTTACCCACTCTGAATGATTCATACAGTTTTGTTTTCATTGCAAAATGGGCACCATTTATTTGAAAGCCACAATGTAACTGAGTTATCCAGCCTACATCTCTTCCTCTTTCCCAAGATAAATCTAAGAATTTAACAAACATTTGGATTTATCTTCAAAATAATGTATTTTAAGAGTTTGAAGTTAACTACATTAAGCACACTCTCAAAATCTAATTGATATTCCACTATTTATGAGAATGCAAGATTTTGAAAAATCAGCTAATATAATTTTTGTTTCACGTTACTTTAATTATCTTGCTGTTTTACATTTTTATTTGGAAGTTACTGGAAAAAAACGATCTCTTCAAATTACATGCACACAGTGACATTTTAGTGATTTTCATACAATCTGAACTTTGAGACTTTCCTCCTCCCTTCATGTCATGTACATCTGAAGATTTATTTTAGAAGAATTGATTCATGAGATTTAAAAATTCAGCCCATTGGGGATGCAAGAAAGTGTAACAACAGAAAACTATGCAACATCAATAGTATTTACATTCACATTTTAATATAAAAATTACAATCAGCCCTCTGTATCCACAGGTTCTACATTCACAGATTCAACCAACCATAGCTTGAAAATATTCAAGGGAAAAAATCCAAAAAGCAAATATTGATTTTGCTGTGCACTAAGCACTCCTCTGATGTGTAGGCATACACTGTTGTAGCCTCCTGCCATTTCACAGAGCCTTATGCTCTTGTTTGATTTGTTCACCATTTTACATAAGGAACACCATTTTACTATGCCATTGTTCGTAATGGGACTTGAGCATCCATGGATTTAAATATTCATCGGAGTGGGGGTCCTGGAACAAAATCCCAGCAGATATCGAGGAACAATCCTACATTGCATTTACAAAATACAATTTTCAAAAGAGACTGTTCTCTAGTTATCTAGGCAGACAGGTCTGTCTTAGAGGTAGATTCTTTTCATCTGTGGCATACATGAAAGAAAATCCATTTGGTATTGAATAGATGAAAAGAGTTTAAGAAGGATTAGATAATAATCCTTACCATTATATGAATGTTGCCTGAAAGCCTAAACTGCATATGAGGTGTTGCTTTCTAGCTGAGGTGCCTGTAATATATTTTTAGTAATGAATTCAGCAGAATGAATTCTTTGGTTATTTTTTTACTGAATATGCATGGGACAGCATCAGGAAATTGATCCCTTTAGAAACTTTGTTTATTACTTAAAATGAACCAAACTCAAACCCTTTCTTAATGTTTAGTTATGCAGAAAAGGAAGTTAAAGCACTAAATATTGTGCAAGCAGCTATTCTTTGGAAATTTCTAAATAAAAAACTAGTCAAAACAATTTCTTTGGTTTAAGTGTACATCTAGTCAAATAAGCTTGATTGTTTGACTAGATGTACACTGGATGTCAAATAAGGCACTAGAGGTCAAATAAGGCAGTAAGAAGCCAGACCTCGAAACTGCTAGGCCATTAAATGTTAATCAAGATGACCAGTTGAAACATTCACACCTACTTCTAACAGACAAGAGTTCTTTCTCCCACCCTGGACATTTTCCACAAGTATATAAACCCAATTTTTCTAGTTTCCAACAGACCTCACAACCTCTGAGAATGTTTACCATAGAGGCAGGCGAAACGTCAGGAAAGAATGCTTCCATACAGCCCAGAAAACTCACAACAACCCAAGCTTGATTTTGTAAGAATTCAAAGTACCATGAAAGTATCTGTTCGTGCAAGAAATTCCTATGCGAAATAATAGGTTTTTCTTCACGGGAAGATAAAGGTTCCAAAAAATGAAGAAAGGGGGCTAGTGGAAAGGCAGCACTGTCTTTAGATAGTAATTGGGTGATGTTCATGACCACTACAGATACAGAACTCATTCCAGGAAATGGCAGGTAGTCATCAAATATACTGGCATACATAGTTCTCAAAAAACCCCAAGGAGGTTATATTAGCTTTCAGTGAGGAAGAGCTAGGCATCATCATCAGAAGCCTATTTACTTATAGTGTGAAGTCCATAAAGTTCAGTGCACACTTTAGAAACTGTCTACTTTCATACCCAAATATCTCATGATAGACTCTTTATAGTCTCTCTTTTTCCTGATAAAACAAGTTTGCTGCTTGAGACCTCCTCCATATGCATATATATTACATGCATTCTCATGGGTATATAAGCATGGCTTGAAGCACAGGATGAAGGAAATTGAAGTAGTGATTGTCCTGCGACTTTTCTGCTGTTTCTGGATAGATGAAAGGTATTCCCTGAGTTCCCTCTTCTGTCCATACCAACTGCTCCGATAGTCAGTTGCTCTGGTTTTGAAAGAAGAGAATGTCACATAAGAGGCCTCCATGCTTCAAAGGTACTGTTCCTCCCGTGCCAAAATGTATAAAGGCAGTTGTCCTTGAATGTTTCTGTTTCTTCAGGCACAGAAACTTTTCTTTATACATGAATGCCATGGTCAAAATGTTTGCCATCACACAATCCTTCTTCAAGAATTCACAACGCTGTTTGTGCTTCTGAATGAAAAATGCTTCCAAACATTTCCTAAAAAAATAATAATGAGGGTTTGGGTTAGAAATGAATTATTAACTGATATGACTATGACAGAAAGTTACTAATGTGGGATCCAAATCGGACTGTAGTTCCATTGAAATAAATTAGATCTAATTTGGTTAGACATTTACATTATTGATGTCACTCGGAATAAAGCATGATTCAGTCAGATCACACCTGTTATCTAATGAAAGGTTGAGATATTTACCCATCACCATCTTTTCCTTTTAACATACCTCTTCCAAGTTTTGAAATTCAGCACTGCTGTCTTCCAGAGATTCATCAGAGACAGAGACTTCTATCTGACTTGATCGCTGTATGAAAAATAACAAAGACAGTTAGGCCAATATAGCTTGCCAATATGGTGGGCAAAAGAAGGATTTTCAGCAGATGGGGTGTGTCATGTTGCAAATGCACTCTACGTTAATATACCAAAGTACTAAATGCCTCACAAGAATAGACCGTTAGACATTCTGTGTACAGCTTGGTATCCGTGATATATCATTTCAGTTCTTAACAGTTTTAATGAGTTCAAATAGGAAAATGATGATATAGGAAATCACAAGATTTCTTTGTTTTATGTTCACCAATTTGCCAAAAGAAGGCATAGAGGGCCAGTCACTGAAAGATTTCTTAAGTTTTAGACAAACAGTAATGAATATGTTTAATACGTTTGTGCAGGTACAACTGTACCAGGAGCTCCAATTTTGTTTGCTTTGCATTGAATGTTTGTTGTAGTCCTAAGTTTCAGGGACTCTGCAGATAGGTAGCTTCTTTTGGCTGCAATCATAGGGCAAGCCACCTGTCAATTATAGTTAGGTTCCCTGGTCCCGCCCCCTTTTTGGGTTTTGGAGGGAATAGGAGCCATTTTGAGTTCACTCCACACAGAGAAGCCTTTCACACAGGACATAAAACCAAGAGCTCCTGTAGAAAGCTTCGTCTTCTACGGCTTGGCCGGGGAGATATACAGCTCACAGCTTGGCCGGGGTTATACAGCCCTACAGCTTCCTTTGCTGAGGGACTTCAGCCAGCCATCACCGAAACCTGAACTCCTTTTCCCTGGAAGTCTACAAAGCTCTGCTTGGTAAGGGTCACTCGCGGAAGCCAGAAGCAGTTGGTACCGGGTGCAGGGGCTCCACGCCAACAGAGGCAAAGACAGACTGCCCAGATTAGAAGTTAAGGATTTCCCCATTAGTTACAGTTATGAAGATAGTGCCTGTTCCCTGTGGACAAGATTGAGAGAGAGTCAATAGACTGTTAAGAAAGCCTTAAAGTACCTGTTTGTTTTCATTAATAAAGAACATTGTTGAACCTTTGAGCAATCTAAAGACTCTGTTTTAAGGAAATCCAAAGGCCTTTAATCTGAGGCAGCCTCGGCGTCCCGTTGGGCACACAGAATTTATGTCCTGTCTACAGTCTTATGCACAGGCCCAGCGTGCGATAGCACAACGTTTTTACATTTAATACATCTTCCTTCACAAAACACGAAAAATAACTGCCACCGCTAACTCCTTCCTGAAGCCAGAGGCCATCATTTCAGTGTGGACAATACAGCCTTATGCTTCGGGAGAGGAGGACATGAAGAATTGCCACTGCCATGAACCCCCTCCTGAAGTCCAATCTACTGTTTCAACATGGATATAGCAGCCTCAGGCTTTAGGAGGGGGATGGGGGCAGTGACAATTTTTTGTGTTCTCCCTTCCAGAAGACTGCAGCTATAATATGCACATTGACATGGTAGGCCTCTCCTGAATCCTGAGGCTGTTGTGCAAATTTGTGTAGCAGCAATTCTTTGTGCTATCATCTTCCAAGCCAGTGCTTGCACATTGGCATAGCCTTAGGTTTTGGGAGAGATTTGACTATAACAGTTATTTGTGCCCCCCTCCCAGGCTTGAGGCTGTTGTGTGTATGTGTGTGTGCACAGCCCTGGGCTTTGGGAGGAGTTGGTTCTGGTGATACCCATCTGTCAGGCATGCATGTCTTGTGCTTCTTGGCCCATATAGGCAAAAATACAGACTGAGCCAAAGTTTGAGGAACTTAACTCTATATGCCTAGGAACCTGAGTGATGTGCATGTTCTCTCCTGGAAGGCAGGAGAAAGCCGTGGTAGGACAATATCAAACTCGCAGATAACTGAATCCGTGAATGTTAAGCCAGTGAATGTGAAGGTGATTGTATTCCTATGCAGGATGCAGGCTGGGCTTCATAGCATGTTGTTCTTGTCTCCTAATGAGCTTCATTTTGACCCACCCTCAGTGTGGAACAAGGACTTAGTCCTTTGCCCCGTATCTAAATGATAACCAGATGGCTTCACCTTCAGTAAATCTCTTAGGAGCAAATATAGTTGCTATACAACAAAGATAAGGTGTTTCATCAAGTCAGCTGAAGGCTGGGTTGACAAATCCTTTATCAAATGGAATAATGCAAATAAAGAATCTGGAGCAAGACTATCCCCATGACCTCAATAACTGAATGCAATGTTGCATTTTAAAAATGCATTCTAGTCTGTTGCATGTAGATCTGATGTGTAGCAGTGTGTTGCTTTCAAGACTTTCACATGCATTTGTTTGTCTGATAAAGGCAGCAAATTGTGACTTCAAAGTCTGAATGAAGTATCATAGATTAAATATACACATATTTTCATAGTGTTTATTGACACTTTCACAGATTTAGTCCATAAATTCCTCTGTAGTGAAGTGCCATCATTATACTTGATTTTCCTTTTAATTAATTCAGGTTTGATGACAGATAAGCAGTTCTTGACTGATGGCCAATAAGAAAAAAACTTGTTCTTATAAAGGACCATCCAGGCTGACTGTCTGTGTAAATTGAAGGCACACTGTTTAATGTAGTAAAATATCATTTACAGGCGCTTTCCTGTCCAAACATTTCTTTTTTTAAAAGCTAACTCTGAAGGCTCTTGTTTTTGCCCCAAAATGCATCCTTTCAGTTTTGAATTACTTTTGTAACTTCTCTATATAGTATTGTTGAACTGATAGGTTCCAATGATATTATTGCACTTTTTTGGTAGAGCATTATCACTGTCGATCTTACTGGCACTTTTTGGGAAGGAAACAGGAAGAGACCATGGGTTTCAAACAGTATTTGGTAAATATTGTTTACCGAATATTGTTGACACAGCAACATTAAATGCCACATCTTGTTAGGATATCTATTAAACCATTTGGAAGTATATTTATTTTTAAAGTTGCTCTTCTGGTACAAATAAAAAGTGGAAACAAATACTTTTGCTTCGTTTTTGTTGGTTTGCCAGTTGCACTCTTTCCTAGGGAGGACAGATGTGACCAAAGTGCATCGTGTCTTAAATTACCTTTCATATCAGTTTGTTCTATGTGAGACTGCCTTTGAAAATTGTTTGGAGGTTATAGCTAATGCAAAATACAGCAGCCAGACTGTTGTTGGGTGTGACTTTCACAGACAAACTGTATTGGCTTCCAGTTTCTTAGACAAACTGTAATTGCATCCAATTTATTCTGAACACAATTCATGGTATTGGCTTTGACCTTTTCTTGGTCATGTGCCTTTAAATCATTTCCAACCATTGGTGACCCTATCACGGGGCTTTCTGGTACTGAGATTGTGTTACTCACCTAAGGTCACCAGTAGTTTCTATGACTGAGTAGGGAATTGAATTCCTGAGTTGTAGTCAAACACTCAAACCACTGCACCATGCTGGCTCTTGGTTTTGACCCTCAATAGCCCCATTGCTGCCACCCTTGGGAGTCTACCAGAAATCTGGGATCTTCAGTTGTGGTTTTTTTTTTTTTTGCATTTCTCGCCACTTTTGATAGGATAGGCAGGTATCTATGTGATGACATGTTGTATTTATCCCCTTTTACCGGGTTCAAAACAAGCAGCTCACACTGATATTTTGTATGGTCAACTGTCCTTAAAACCAGAACTGACTCCTCTGACTGTTTTAACTGCATATTTTTGAAAACACTGGTTTTAAAAAATGTTTTTATCTATTTTATATCATTTGAAGGTCCTGACTTGAGGATCCTGACAAGTTGAATGATGCATTAAATGCTTCAGATAAGGAAATAGCCTGAAACATCTTGGAATTAGAAAAAAGTGACAAAAGTCCTTTGTCTCACCCTGGTCATTCCACAGATATATAAAACCCTTTTCCCAGTTACCAAACAGACCTCACCTCTGAGGATGCTTGCCATAGATGCAGGCGAAACGTCAGGAGAAATGCCTCTAGAACATGGCCATATAGCCCGAAAAAACCCACAAGAACTTAGAAAAAAGTTGTTTGACTATTGGGAAAAGATTATTGCAGCTATAAAAACTGCCACTTCCTTACACATTTAGCCAGCCTGGATGAGCCCTAACTCAAAATTTGTTGAACCTGGAAGGTCAATTCATCCATTATTTACAGAATTTTATTGTTTTAACAGAAATAGTAAAATATATTTTTTACTATTTTATAGTATATTTCTATTTTTACTGAAATAAAACAGAATCAGTACATTTCTGATCTCTGATGATTTTACAACATAGGAATCCTGCAAGTTTGTGATGTAATCATAGTTTGGCTTGTGAAGGTTTCCATGGGAAGGGATCTTAAAAGCAGATAACCTCTGCCATGGACTATTTTCTTAGACAGCATTCCATAGAATCATAGAATCAAAGAGTTGGAAGAGACCTCATGGGCCATCCAGTCCAACCCCCTGCCAAGAAGCAGGAATATTGCATTCAAATCACCCCTGACAAATGGCCATCCAGCCTCTGCTTAAAAGCTTCCAAAGAAGGAGCCTCCACCACACTCCGGGGCAGAGAGTTCCGTCTCCACGGAAGCAGAAAACAAGCTTGCTCCCTCCTCCCTGTGGCTTCCTCTCACATATTTATACATGGCTATCATGTCTCCTCTCAGCCTTCTCTTCTTCAGGCTAAACATGCCCAGCTCCTTAAGCCGCTCCTCATAGGGCTTGTTCTCCAGACCCTTGATCATTTGAGTCGCCCTCCTCTGGACACATTCCAGCTTGTCAATATCTCTCTTGAATTGTGGTGCCCAGAATTGGACACAATATTCCAGGTGTGGTCTAACCAAAGTGGAATAGAGGGGTAGCATTACTTCCCTAGATCTCTAGACACTATGCTCCTATTGATGCAGGCCAAAATCCCATTGGCTTGTGGAATTTCTGCCCAATTGAGATTTGTGTAGTGTCCTTACATGATGCTGAAAATGACAGACCTTCCTCTTTTAGCAGACATTCAATCTTTTATTTTATCTTTGTATTTGTTGTTAAAGTTTTATTACTGGCTCTTAGCTTTCAATTTTTGGGTGGATTATTTGCTTTATGGTCAAATCTGTGCTTTCATTATTTTGTTTGATATTTGTAAGACATTCCAACTATATTTGTCAGTTAGATCATATATAAACATTCAAATAAATAGATAATTATTTTAACTTTTCCAGCCAAAATATTTTTAAATCAGGCTTTCCCCATTAAACCAGACTTTATATCTTCCTTTTTAGCACTGCCAGTAATTATAGAGCTATTGCCGGTGATATATAAGGTGGAAAAGGACAACAGTATGTTATACTAATCCAATTAACATGTTTGCCAATCTAATTACTGACTATTGCTTTAACACAAGGTCTACCAATGAAAAGGAATACATAAAAGAAGGCTGACTGAGTAAGAAGACATCAGTAATTTATACCTGGTCCAAGGCTGAGCAACGCACAGCTCTGTTGCCATTCATTGTTGCAAACAAAACAGCATCGTGGATGCTCACAAAGAGATGATTAGGCTCAAGACCTCCTTCTTCAAAGACTCCCCCTGTGCGAATGTCATCATACACTTGGGCTAAAAAAAAGGAGACAAGTACACTTGAAGCGATGGAAAGCAAGAGTTACATGTTTGAAAGTTAGTTGTGTCAGGATATTCAATGTTAAATAAATTTGCAGTAGTAAAGAATGAGAAAAAGCACATGCCTATTGGACCAGGCCTGTGCAGCACACAAATCTATATCTATAGCCCACATAACATAGGATGACACATTAGTTTACAGGCAAGTGGAGTAAGAATACAGTCCAGTTGCTGCTGTTTCCATTTGAGAAAGCTGAGAGAACTAAAGAAATTGGGTTTACAGACAGCAGATAACAAGAAGTGGCATGGACAAGAGGGGGCAGTAGTATTCGTAGACCCTTTTAATAATTATGATGCTCAATATTTTATGCCTCACTCAAAGCCCCACCATATACATGAATAATGTGATCCTCTGCATTAATTTTAGGCTATAGGGGGAAATTATACATTTCTCAAAAAGCAATGGCTAGTATTCAGTGGTGTCTTTCTTGCTTGCATTTGTAGATCCTTGTCTTGGAAGGCAGGACTTTACAACTGTACAACCTATTCTACAATAGGTTGTAGAACTGGTTGTACAACTATGTACAACCACTTCATAAGCAGTAACATGCCTAGAGACCATAACAACAACTGGGGAAAAAACCAAGGAGTATTATCTCCCAGTAGTATTATCTTTGACTTAGAGTTCAGGTTCCCAACCTTTGGTCCCCCAGGTGTTTTGGACTTTAATTCTGAGAAATCCCAGCAAGCTTTCCAGCTATTAGAAATTGTGGAAACTGAAGTTCAAAACACCTGGAGGACCAAAGGTTGGGAACCACTAACTTAGAGGAATAGCTAGAAAAGTTATTTTTGGAAAATGTTATCACTATCAATAATTACATCTTTATTAAGTAAGAGTTATAATTCTTTAAAAACTCAAATACTAAGTTGGTTCAAAGGCAAACTGTAAAATCAGATACTGCTATGGATGGTACGACTGGTTCCATTTTTTTATACAGAAGGAAGGGGCAAAAACTCCCTGTGTTTTAAAAAGACAGGTAAAATTGCACTCAAACAATTCATGGGCAGTATTTCTAGTCCTACTTCCATTTTCTTCCCCTTTATGGGAGACAAATGGTGTTTGCTACATGGAATAAATTTCTTACCAGGTACATTTGCCAGGAAAACTTTAATCCCAATTTTTTGATAGTTGATGCACAGCTACATGATAAAACAAAAAAAAGTATTTACTTCCACATATTTTTATTTACTTCCAATAAAAAAATAAGAACATTAATGCAGAAAACACAGCAAATTCTAGACATTTTATGCCAAGATAATTATTTCCAGTGTTAGAATGTGGACAGAAGACAGTAAGCTTGAGGATATAGATAGTCCCAGATTTTTTTAAAAAAATAGATGTTATTCCTGGAATGTATAATCCCAACTCCAACAAATGGACAACAATGGGAGGAACAAAGTCCCCAATGTTTAGAGAAAAGGGGTGTTTTAAAATAAAAGTGATATTATAAGCAATGTCATAAAACATTGGATTCAGGGAAATCATACTATAGTACTACAGTCTGAAGCAGAATAGAAGCCCCAGCATCTTCTTCCTCCTCATCTTTCTGCCACAGCCTCAGGAGGGAAAGCGAAGGAGGAAGGAAGGCAAGGAGGGAGGGAGGGAAGGCAAGGAGGAGGGCCATGCAGGGAAAACCGCGGAACAGTGAGTCCACGGTAAGCGAACCGAGAAGGAGCATGGAAACACTATATATGTAATTTCTTTCCAGCCTGATTTGTCACATCACAAAATCTTTCCTGACTACTGATTTGCATTCTAAAAAGTTTGCAATTTATTTTGATTGCTTAAATACCCAACTCTCTGAAGCATCCTCATCATCGGCTATCACTTATAGTTGAGTATGATTATCTTCGAAGGGTAGAGCAATCTCAACTCAAGCTTTTACCTATCACTGCTCCTCTTTGAAACTACAGATCATTTAATGGAACTTGGTGGGATATTTTAAGAACCACCTCTTCAAATAGCAATTTAAGTCGATACAAAAGATGAATGGAACCATTAAGAATGACCTACCTTTCCCAAAGCCTTTGTCCCCATCAGGTCTACAAAGCAGACACCACTCATATCCAAAATGATTGTGTGGAAGTTGACAAATGGAGGTGCTGTAATTATAGGATCAACATTTGAGGCTGGGATAACACTGAGGACGCTGCTTCGATGACTAGGAGTGCTTCGTTGTTCACAAGGGGCATTAGCCTGCCTTACAGCATTCATAGCTGGGTTGAAGGCAATAAATGAGATGCTATTTCCATTAGAAGCTGTCTGGTTGTTGTTTGTGTCTGTTGGAGAATTGCTCTCAAAGTCCTTCTGGAGCTCTTGCAGAGACATAGTCTTTAGGAAAAGAAAGGACACTACATTCAGAATAAACTTATATTTATTTTATTTATTAGATGCACATAACCACACTTCCACCACTCCTGGAATCTGAAATGGTTGGCAGAGTATCCTAAAATACTATAAAATAATAATGACAAATAAAAAGCAAGGCTATGACATAAAATTAAACAATTCTTTTTAAAATGTTACAAATTGTATGTAATACAGTTGGCCCTCTGCATTTGTGGGTCTGACTTTTGCAGATTTGATTAAAATGTTCTCTTTAAGAATCTCTAGGTCCTCTAGTACAACTCTATGATCAACTTCTCCCTGTCATAGAGAAGATCATAAGAAAAAGGGAGAAGAGATGTAATCCCCTTGTTATTTTGGTCCAGAAATTCCAGTTTCTAGCACACTTGTATATTCATTTGACATTTATCATTTCAGAATCCAGCATTGGGTTTTGAACAGAGAAACAATTTTCAAAGAGAAGCTGTGTTTGTTCATTATAAAAAGGAGGATGAATCTAATGGCATTTTGAAAACAGATTTATTTCAGCATCACCTTTCATGGATATCATCATCATCATCATCATCATCATCATCATCATCATCATCATCAGATTGACACAGTTGGAAAATGTCTAACCTAGCCAGTATTTTAATCTGAAATATAAATTTGCAAACTGGAAAACTGGTTTGAACCCTATTATTAGTCCCCAACTAAAGTAAATCAATTGAATCAATTAGATTTAATCAATTAGTGTTGACTTGCTATTCAAATATTGATTCAGTGGGTCCCCTTTGCTTGGGACTAACCATTTGGATTCAGGCTACAGCCTCTAGATTGTGGTCTAGCGTGCAGTTTTTCTGGGCTGGTCATGCTGCTGAGCAAATAATAGTTGCTGAGCAAGACATTCCTGTTCCATGCTGCAATCATTTCTGTAGTTTTAATTTTTTCCCCTTCCAGTTGCTGAGTAAGTAAGTGAGGAATTTCAAAAGAGCAGTACATAGAAAAGCAGTAGCAGCTGGAAAATTATATATCTAATTTTAATTAAATTTATTAAGGATGCAGTCCTATATACATTCCCAGGGAGTAAGTCATGTTTAACATGCTCAGACTTATTTCTAAGTAAACATAAATAGAATTGTACAGTCAAAATATAAAGAGAATGCTGTGGCAGTTTGATGACTAACACGTTTATTGTGTCATCCTGAAACTGCAAAGCTAGCACGAAACTGTTGCATTAGACTTTACCACAAAATTTCATTCTATTCATTTAGTACTCGGATGAGAGCAGAGTTTTCTCTTCCACTGCAATTGTTAATGAAGCTTTCACCAGTTGCCAAGGTTAACTGTGTGAATCCTGTATGCATTTGTACTTTGTATTAAAACAGCCAAGGTTGTTCAGTGGCCTTTTGATTCATATTTCACATTTATCTCTCTCTATGCCTGTATCTGTGCCACGTGTGTGATGAAGTGATCTCTAGTTCATGAATGCATAAGCAAACTACATCTGTGAGTTTTTAAGATGCTACAAAATTAGATGATAAACTATACATTTGATATTAAACTGGATTGTCATGATAATCAAGCAACAGCCTTTATGGAAAAACAAAGATATATCTGTTTCAGATATTGTTTCAGATATTTCTTTCAATATCTGCTCATTGTGAAAAAGTGAGTGCTGTCCTCGATTACTGCATTCACTGCAAAATTGTTGGATAGTGCCTGTGACACCACTTGCGATGAATGATTCAGCTATTTACTCATGATGTTTGCAACCTTTTAAAAAAAGTTTTAAGAATCTCTTGATGTTCTGCCATGTGAAGTGCATTAAAACTATCTCGAGTGGTAAACAATAGCAAGGCCAATCCTTTCCCCAGTGGCAACCATTTTTTTCCAGCATTGCTATGCATTCCTTCCCATCTTTTGGGAAGGGGATGGAGGTAACATTATTAAACATGAATGGAGCTATCTCCTGTCTCAAAAAAGCTAATTAATAGGCATTAAAGTGAATTACCTTATTCTTTCTGAAGAAGGATTTTAGTTTGCTCACTTTCTGTGCTGCAGCCACCACCTTTTCTTGATTCTTCACATACTTTCTCCTTGCCAGGAAGACTTTTATAGGGTCAACACCAGTCTGTTTAAAGAAAACATAGCACTCTGAGTCATTTTCCTGCCTTTGCTCTTATGATAACTGAACTTGAATCTGGGGTTCAAAGAGGGAATGTGAATATTACTGTAAGGCACAAGAGCTGAAAAATTAAAGGATGGGCTTCTTTATGTTTGGAAAGCCGTTGGCAAGGCTAGGATATTGAGTCCAGTCTAAGATCTATCCAGTGGCAGCTTCTCCCTTTATGATTTGCACCCTTTAATTCAGTAATTTTTATGCAAACTTCAGAGTTAAAATCTTGGAAAAATTGAAAAGTGGTGCTAATAAGATATAAAAATTTAACGCCAAATAATACCCCACAAGGAAAGTATTTCTCAAAGAGGCTTAAATACGCAAAGTCTTTTCTTGTCACCTTCTTGCACCACATATACAGTAAAATGAATGTTATTCCCATATACCAAGGTATGTTAACAGAGAATTATGTGAGTTGTAGTTCAACAAAGCTAACTTTTCATAACTTGACGTAGGACTTCTGAAAATGGTGGGTGAGAAGGCTTATTTTGGTTTCCCAGCTAAGAAGGTTTAAAACTAGCAGTGAGATTCTACTGTCTTTTTTTCTGCTCTACCATTTTCTTGTGAAATCCCTACCACAGAACCTCTCTGTCCCTCCCCACTATCTCTTTGGGGTTCCAGGTCTTTCATTGTAAAAGGAACAAGAAACCTGTGTTGGGAAAAGCAACTTGGTGGGATAAAATTTTGTTTATGTTTGGCCAGAATTCTCTTACCTTGGCAATAACTTTCTCCCGGAATATCTCTGAATTAGCAAAGTATAATGGAGAGCAGTAAGTGACAATTTTAACTCCATCTATTTCTTGGACCTGCAAAGATATATATATACAGTTTTAGATAGAAGACCAAATGAGATGCAATGGCACCACGTGTCTTGGGGCAATGGATGAAGAAGATGCAAATAAGTTAGGCCAAATTGAGGGAAGAAGAATTTCTCGAAGAGGAAAGTTCTTTGTACATTCATCCACAGTGAAATGCATGTGCATAGTATTGTTTAAAATTTTAAAACTTTGTTAAGATAAATGAACATAAAACACAATCTAAAAAACAATCAAATCCTTTAAATAAACTAACACAATTGCAAAGCATCAATACAGTGCACAGTAGTAAATCTATACATTGTATTAATTACAGGCATCAAATCACATTAAGCATCTTTAAAACAAAATCTCAATGAGAAAATAGAAAAAGAGGAAAAATTGTAGTTTCGTTTACCTTGTTGTAGACCTTGGGGTTCTTGTATATATCAGAAACAGCTACAGGGCCAATGACACAACCATTGCGGCTAGAAAGAAATATTAAGAATAATGTTAAAAATATAATTGTGTAGCGTTCCTTCATTGTATTAAATGTGTAGTTCATGAAATAAAAGGTTGATTAATCTTCAAGCTGTGACTGGGCTCTTTATAGTTTTAGCCACAACAGACTAACATAGTCTTGTAAACTCTTCTTCTTGATACAGTGTTGGATTGAGGTAAAGCTGAAGAGGTTTAATGTGGCTGATTTGCTTACAAGAATGTTATCAATATCACATAATGTTTTCTATAAGCCACCACCAATATGCATCTAGTGCCACCATGTATCTCCTGTTGACTTATAGTCACCACATGAGTTTCATAAAGGCAAGGAATACTCACAGATGGTTTTGCCAATTTCTTCATCAGCATCTCAGGCTAAATATATGGTGCAAAGGAGCATCATCCCAACAAGAAAGCTTTTGTTGGGATGATGGAAGGCTTTCATGGCCAGAATCAGTGGGTAGTTGTGAGTTGTCTGGGCTGTATGACCATGTTTCAGAAGCATTCTCTCTCTCTCCTGATGCTTTGCCCACATCTATGGCAGGCATCCTCAGAGGTTGTGAGGTCGTGGGGCCTGAGAACCTCATGACCTCTGAGGATGCATGCCATAGATGCAGGTGAAATGTCAGAAGAGAATGCTTCTGGAACATGGCCATATAGCCCGGAAAACTCACAACAACCCAAAAGCTCTCTTGCTGTCTCAGACCAAGATTTAATGGGCAGGATTTCCAAAATATGAGGTTCCAGTAATTGCTAGAATACAACACTATAATAGCAGAGTTCTCAGAACCATGTTCCACAAAATCCTAAACCAAATCTACCCAAATTAGGAAAAAGTACATTCCATTGATGATGTTATCATGGGAGGAAAAATAGCTCAAGGAAAAAAGAGTACTCCTCCCTAATGGAAGGGCTGGGCCTGTGGTAATCAGGCTATGGAAAAAAAGAGATATTTCCAATTGCCATTCTTGTTCTTTACATCCCCTTTTGATTGGCTAATGGTGAAATTTTTGAAATTACACCACTTTGAACTCTTTCTTATGAAAATAGGAATAACCAACAATGACATTTCCCATACTTAAATTATTGTATTATAAATACGCCCTCTTGTGGTGATAATCTGGTAGCACAATAACATAAAATGACCTGAGAAAAAATCATTAGATGAAGCCAGAGAATGATTTGCTGTCTGAAACTAAAAGTTATACATCATTTCCTGATAATGGGCCCAGGATCTTTTTAAAAGTTGCACAAATGAAGAAAATGCAATGATTGGCCTTTTCCTCTTTCTTCCAATAATAAGTCATGACCAGCAGTATCTTCTGACATTTCGCCTACTACGCTATTGTTAAAAGAATCATGTTTTCTATCTTCTTCCTACTATGAGAATTGTTTTTGAGAGTTTGTTTCCAAAGTGATTATATGTCCTCCTGTAGTTAACTTTTCTACTTTTGTTTCCTGAGCAGAGATGTTTCACTCCTGTGTGAAAAGGGAAAGCTAGAAAGCATAGACCATTTTGCACTGTATCTTCTAGTCTTCTGTTGCCCTGCATCTCTATAGCTGCAAGGAAGAACATTTGGCTGTGGGTCAGTGACCCGAGGCTGAAGGGGAGCTTCCCTTGCCTTCTATGGAAAAACATCATGGAGACTAACCTAGCCACATGTGGCATCAAGACAAGAAGTTGCTATTCTAAACTTTGCTTTCTTCTTCCCCCCCAAATTCTTTCTTGTTTTTTCTTGGATCTATCAGATTGTGATCCAGAAAGCAAGGGCTGTTTTAGCCTCATAATTTCTTGCCATTGTTATTTTTCAAGGATTATGCAGTGTTTCCATTTTTCCAAGCCTTAGATCTTTAAAAAGGAATGGTAGTAATGATTTACAATCATAATTCACCTGCATCAAGATGTGCATGTTACTCCCAAAGAAAATGTCTCTCATTCCTCAACAGAAAAGCTAATTAATGAGTTTAAGTTTCTCGCTAAATGAAGCTGCCACAAAGAAAGAACAGCATAAAACGTATTTATCACTTATACTGAGAGCTTAATGAGTAATAAGTGAGATTTCGCATGTATGTACATGTGTGAGAGAAGGATAAGTCAGGCAGGTGTTTTCATGCATGACGTAAATACTTTCATATTTATATCAGCCTTGAAATATATTTATAGAAATGGGAGATTAGGGAGCAGTTATCTGAGACTGGCATCATTGTTTACCAACAGGGACTGGTCCTTTCATGTTCCACATGCTGCTAGTCACACCTGCCCTGGAATATTTGATCCAGGTGATGGGAAATATCTTTACTTTGCCTTCCAATTACAGGCCACCATCAAAATGATACTTACAACTGAGTATGGAAAACGACAACAAGGATGGAAAACCCGACTCCTACAGCGAGTCCAAAGGGCAAGCCCAGGAAGAAAGCAGATAGGAAGCTCACCACCCAGACCATCTGTGGAAAGACATAAACACAGCAAGTCATTTCCTTGCGCTGAGGTCAGCCTTCTATGACGAGATGGAACACGCGCTTTAAATATGACTGCAGAGCTATGGCTGGGATAATGGAGCCTGAGATGATGTTGTTATCATCTTAAACAACTTAAGTCCAGGCAGCATGCCAGAAATATGTTGAAACTTAAGTCCAAAATGGTTATCTCGTGATAACCATTTTGCTTTTGAAAAGTGGAAGATTGTAGTGTTACATTAATGGGTAATGGGTAAGCTGCATAACAAATTCGTTTGGGGGAAAAAAAGAACTTTCCAAGCCCTGTTCTGCAGAGTTTGAAATCAGAAGCAGGGAATCATATCGGTAGGGCAAACCTCTTCCACACTACACACCAGGGGTCCTGATCGGAGTTCTCAGTTTAGTGCATCATCTAAGAACCCATCTTTGCTCCTTCTTCCCCACCAAACAAAGCACTCCGAGCTGGTCCTTGCAAGCACTAGCTGAGACAGGGGAAAGGGAAGGGAAGGAAAAGAAACCTCTTCTATCTCCCACATAGCATCTCCTTCTACCACAGTGCAGCACATATTGAAAGACATAGCCAGAATGATTTGATTAACTGAGCAGTTAAATGATTTGATAAGAAACATAAACCACATCACTCCTTGATGCCTCTGTTTATAAGCCAGCATTTCTTTAGTGCTATAAGTTATATCCCTCCTTTCTAAATGCAATTTACTTATGTCAGCTATGAGTAAAGTGGCTCTGAATATTGCTGTCAAGTACACCAAAGAGTGTTTGTGAAATAAGTGCTCTCAAAGTTGAGGAGCTCCTTCAGTAGCTTGAAAGGTAACTAAGTTGTGTAGGTGCTATATTCTGTTGGGTGTTGTGCTCGGCATACTTCAGGGCATTCAAGTCCATTATAATACAGGGCACACTTATAATCTCTTAAACAGAACTCCAAAGCATAATCTCCTTCCCCTTCTGTTTGAACAGTACTTTAAGAAAGTTATTGATAGCTGTGGCTGGACAATTTCAATTATTCCTTTCACTGATAAAGTAATGCTTGGAGAAACTTGTAAGACTCTGGCACAATGTATGTAAATATAATTTAGAGCAATAAATCTTCTTTATCCAAGAACCAGACATTTATAGTGTTTGTATTTAGTGAGTTTTTATCCTTTTATAAAAAGGTTTCTCCTTTTCTGGATGGACATATACTCAGATCAACACACTATTCGCTGATACATCACACAGTCCTAGACACTTGGGAAATGTCTGACGTATGATCAAATACAAAAGTCAGCATAGTGGTCTTGTTTGCTGTGTACTAATCTTGTTATGTATCAAATAATAATATTTATTTGTACCCTGCCACCATCTCCCCGAAGGGACTCAGGTGGCTAACAAAGAGACCTCATCGGCCATCCAGTCCATCCCCAATGACATATCATCAAAACAATACACAATTTGACTGAATGCAAACAATGAACAATGCCAATTGATAAAAAATAAAAAAATAATTAATTTCTAAAACACAATCATACCTGTGAGTTATTAAATTTCTTCAAACATGAACTAAAGTGCTGAATAACAATGGTTGACATCATCACATACCCATAGTACATTACTCCAGGTCAAAGGCCTGTGTAAACAGCCATGTTTTTAGGTTCAAACAGAAGGTTTGGAGATTTGGGGACTAATCTAATCTTTCTAGGAAGGGCATTTCAGAGCCAGGGAGCCATCACCAAGTAGACCCTCTCTCTTGTCCCCAACCAACTGCACATGTGACTTTGTTGGACTGAGAGAAGGGCCTCCCCAGCAGATCTCAAGGCTTGCTCTGGTTCATAGGAGATGTGGTTTCGAAGATAGATTGGAACCAAAGTGTATAGGGCTTCTTAGGTAATAACCTTCCCTTTAAATTGGGCCCAGAAACTTGTCAGGAGCCAGTCTGTTTTCACTGCCAACTCTCTCTAGTTTTGGGAAGAGGTCTTTATCATTCTTTTAAGAACAATTTATTGCCATGCCAAAATTCAGCCTTTGTAAGGATAATTCAAGTCTGTGCATTAAAAGGTACTAATCAGGAGAGTGCTCACCTATATTCTTATTGTTGTTGAACTCAAATCACAGACATATTTTTGCAATCTAACATTACATGTTGATACCACACTCCCACAACCTAATTGCTGTACACTGTAAGGAGATACAAATTCTGTTTTCGGCCTGTATGCCAATAGAATATTCTAATATTCTTAATCTAATATTTGATTTTTGTAGAATATTTGTTTATGGAATAGATGTGGCTTAAATATATCTTCATAACAATTAGAAATTTTCTTTTAAAAGGACCTTTGACATACTCAGGGTGCTAGATCTTAGGACCTTTATGCAGCAATGTAAAAGGCAACCATCACTGTATGCAAAATTTCTGTTCATTCGGCTTCATGCTGCTGTTTATATCTATCTCCCAAGACATCTGAGATGAGATACTCACACAGTCCAGCTTGCTTTTTTTCCAAAGGTAGTAAGGATCAGTCAGCTGCTTGAGAGAATTCTTCAGATTCACAGCAATCAAAGCTCCAAGCACTGCCTAAATTAAGTATAATAAAACACTACAATTATTTTTTTATCATGTCAGAAGTGACTTGAGAAACTGCAGGTTGCTTCTGGTGTGAGAGAATTGGCCATCTGCAGAGATGTTGCTCAGGGGACACCTGGATGTGTTACCATCCTGTGGGAGGCTTCTCTCATGTTCCTGCATGGGAAACTGGAACTGACAGATGGGAGCTCACCCCCTCTCATAGATTCAAACCACCAACCTTCAGGGCAGCAGTTCAGTTGACACAAGTGTTTAACCCATTGCACCACTGCGGCTCCTATTACAATTAATGACAAAAAGCCACAAGTATAGTGCACATGTTAGCTGCCGCAGTACAATCCTACTTTATGGCACAGCAGCTACAGCTGCTTTGGAGCAGACCATAAGCCAGATATTGTTGCATATTGGCTAAAGAATCACTAGTAGGTGATTCTAGGGTTCATGAGATTGCCAGATAACTCTCCTAAATGTCAGTGTTCTCAATTTCATAGCTCGTCCTAGTTGTTTCCAACCAAAAATGCCCAAAATTACTGGTTGGGGCTTTGGCCCTGGTTTGTTGATAGCTGTAATGCACTACCCTCAATATATTCATTTCTGTTCAACAACTCTTTTTTCCTGTTTGAGATATGGTAAAGCTGTGGGGTGGATATGGTTTCCTTGTCACCCTCAATTAATTGAACACCTATCTATCTCCTATGCTCTTTCCCCAAGTATCAATGTTCTCAGTATCATGCATTTCATCTTATGTTATAGCTGTAGGACTATAACATTTTAGTTCTGACAACTAAAAATAAAAACAAAGAATAAACATTCAACCCGTAACCAGAAATGTAATGAGAAAACTAAGGCACACCCTCATTAAAAATGTGGGGCCATTCGAAACCACGTAGATCCAAGAAAATAGTTATGTGACATTCACCTAACCTATATCAGAAACTCCTCGCAGTAGGGTTAATGTTGGCTTTGTTGGCCCAGGGCTATTTTTGCCAATTAGAGCTAATTCCAATAGACACAGCCTGGAAACATGTTCATAAAGAAATCTGTTTGATTTTTACCTTAGGAAGAGGCTGGAGATAAATCCCCAAAGACAACATGGTTATCATCACTACCAGCGCCACACAAAAACTTGCCATCTAAAGGGAGAAGAAAACTTATCACCAAAAAAATCAAAACCAAACCTTGGAACATACATTATGATATCTTTCAATTGAGGGACCAAGAAGTGATGCTAAGTAATTGGTTTGAGGGCTATGAGTGGAAGGTACTGGGAGAGGAAGATAATTTTGTGATTTGATTTAACTTCTTGTTTGCCTTTAGTTATCGTTTATAATGAGAAATCACCATATTATCAGCTACATTGTTGTCACAGAAAAAGGATGTGCTACATATGATAATATGTTTTAAATAATTAATTAATTTTAAAGCTTTATTTCTAACATTTTAGTAAATATCTATAGTGAAACAGGCAAAGAGAACACAACAAGATGATTTTTTCTACCTCCACAAACTATTGTGGAGACAAAATAATCTACACATCCTTACATACATCACTATTTTCAACAACTCAGCATATATCATTTTGCACAGAAACAATAATACCTGTTGCTCTTTTCTTTTTCTTACTCTATTAGTTACTTTCACCATTTTTAGGTTTTCTCAAATATCTGTACTATCTGTATTTATTATGGCAAAATTAAGTGCCGCATTATAAATACATATACATATATACATAATGTTTGCATTATAATACAATAATAAATATAATATATCAATTTATAAAACAGTTAAAACATATAAATACAATAAAACAGATTAAAAACATACATAGTGCAAAGTTCCATAGTCATTATTCAAGCTGCTACATTTCAAGTTGGATTGCATATTACACTATTCCCTTGAATGCCTGTGTCTTTAACCTTTTTCTGAAGATCAGGAGGAATGGGGCCAGTCTGATGTCACTGGGGAGGGAGTTCCACAGCCAAGGGGCCACCACTGAGAAGGCCCTGACTCTCATTCCCACCAGTTACACTTGCAAAGGAGGTGGGGTCGAGAGCATGGCCTTCCCAGTAGATCTTAAGGTTCTGGATGGCTTATAAAGGGAAACACGCTTGGACAGGTAAGTTGGACCAGAAGCGTTTTTCAGATCATACATAGGTTTTATAAACTATGTCTCAACCAATCTATTTCAAGAGAATACAATGATGTATTTTTATAGGGTTATTTTAAGGATCATTAAAAATATTTCTAAAGTTTTCTGAACACATGAAATGCTATATGATTCCAATTGTAATTAGATAGATCTGATTCTTTGGCAATCCAAACTATGATCAACTCTGCTGTAATGGCAACATAGATATCAAATTAGTTAGCTAACTCTTGATGCATATTTATAATTATCAGAAATATTTTAAATCAATTTTAAAATATAGAAATTTGAATAAAATAAGCCAAACTTTAAAGTGTGAACATGGCATTTTGTGACACTGAATTATGGCAGCTCAGAGGTAAAGGTAAAGGATTTCCCTGACATTAAGTCTAGTTATGTCTGACTCTGGGGGGTGGTGCTCATCTCCATTTCTAGGCCAAAGAGCTGGCGTTGTCCATAGACATCTCCAAGGTCATGTGGCCAGCATGACTGCATGGAGTGCCATTGCCTTCCTGCAGAAGCGGTACCTATTGATCACTCATTTGCATGTTTTCGAACTGCTAGATTGGCAGAAGCTGGGCCTAATAGCTGGAGCTCCTGCTCCTGTATTCGAACTGCCACCCTTTGGGTCAGCAAGTTCAGCAGCTCAGTGGTTTAACCCACTGCGCCACCTGGGTGTAGATAATAGGAATTTCCTTAGAAAGCAAGGTGAATGGGAAGAGCATACTTTGTTTCAAAACATAATTATGCTTTCTCGAGGTTTCCCAGAGAACAATTCTGCTTTAAAGCCATGTCATTCCCAATCATATTATTTTCAAATAATTTGGGGGCGGGGGGGGGGGGGCTTCCTTTAGTTGAAATTTGACAGCAAAATTACTTTTGGATGGGGTGATGGGAGCAAAGTTCCCAAAAATAAGGGCTTGTGATTTATGAATCACATATTGATCAGTCATGTTATCAATGGTATTCGTTTAAAAATGAAGTCCCTGCCCAAAGCATCACGAGGTTAAGGATCCAACAGGGATAAAAGGAACCCACTGTTTTAGATGCTGAGATTTGGATAAAGAGAATCACTCTTGCATCAGTTCAAGTCCATCCAAAGATGTAGAGATATTGGTGTTCTTTTATTTTGAGAGGAGAAACTAAATAAATAAATAACCTGAGATTTCCCTCCAGCTCCATCCACAGCTAATGTCACTGAAAGAGCACAGCATATCACATGGATTTTGAAGAAGGATCCAAAAAAGTTGCTGCAGCCCAGGGCTAGCATTTCCTGTGGAAGCAAGGAGAAAAAGCTAAGCAGAAGTCGGTAGCAAAATAAACGTCATGACTGTGCCCTTTGTCAAAAGGTTCCTTTCACAACCATTGCTTGGGTGGAAGAACTAGGTCAAACAGTCACATAACAGTCATACGTATATGAAGGCGGCATTTATTAATGGAAAGGGCCAGCAGTGTCACCACCGGTCTATCTCCTGAGGTTTATCTCCACCCCTTGAGTCCTGCATCTGCTCATTTCAGAGGTATCCCAGGATTCTCTGAGTCAGATTTCTAGAGCACATGACTTGCCACTTCTTGGGTCAGAATAATTCTTTCAGGATTTTCTTAACCACAACTGTCTCATCTGAGATTGTTACCACTAGTGAATCAGCTATGCAGCAGCAAAGAACACAAAAAAGTTTCTGCAGAGGAAACATGCTCCACATGTTGCTATTATAAGCCATGTGATGTACTCATACAGGCCCGTAGCCAGGATTTCGTTTCGGGGGGGGGCTGAATTTTTTTCAGGGGGGGTTTCGGGGGGGGGCTGAGTTTCGGAGGGGGGGGCTGAGTCTGAGTGAAAGAGGGTCTAGCCTAGCAAACCTTTTGTATCATTACCCCAATACCCCCATGCATATGGGATATATTGAGTATGGTGATCAGATCATGATATGAATAAACATAACAGTTTAAATAATGCACCAGTAAAGCCTTTTCGCAAACCACCATGAGAATTTCGGGGGGGGGGGGCTGAAGCCCCCCGAGCCCCCCCCTGGCTACATGCCTGTACTCATAGTATTCTCACGTGTCACAGTCCTAGGCTGTCTTTTAAAGAAGTTTATTTAATTTGACAAAGTATTTCAAATTAATCCCTTGAACTAATTGTTAAATAACATCTTAGTAATAGCCCTAATGGATCTGTTCCAGATTCTATTTTGAGTCTGGTTGTAGGCTGTAATTGTGAAGGAGCTATAAAGGAGCAAGGATTTACAGCTGGGATGGAAAATATGTGAAATCTCCTACATGTTTTCAGAGCCATCCACTGCTGTGGTCATGGAGGGAAAATGCAATATCTACTAGACCCCTTTTCCTTTTCATTAAGCTGTAAGCCTGAGAGCAGGAAACTTTTTGTTTTGCTTGTAAAGAGCTAGGCACAGTAATGATCCTATGTAAATAAATGATTACGATGACAATGATGACAAAAATAGTAATTATGGTTTGGCATCTCTTTTTTTGGGATTCAGAAATCTCAAGCATTTCAAAATACGAAATCCTCCATATAGGTAGCTGAGATGCTTTTGGAAGGTTCAAGGTGCACAAACTTTTTTTCATGCACAAAATTATTAAAAATACTGTATATAAAATTACATCTAGGCTATGTGTATCAGGTACATGCAAAACATTGAAAATGTTTTTAGATATATATCACATCTCTAAGATATCTCATGTAGGGTTTTTTTTTTGTTGTGTCAGGAGAGACTTGAGAATCTGCAAGCCACTTCTGGTGTGAGAGAATTGGCCGTCTGCAAGGATGTTGCCCAGGGGATGCCTGGATGATTTGATGTTTCATCGTCCTTGTGGGAGACTTCTCTCATGTCCCCACATGAGGAGCTGGAGCTGGTAGAGGGAGCTCATCTGCCTCTCCCCGGATTCGAACCTGCTACCTGTCAGTCTTCAGTCCTGCTGGCACAGGGGTTTAACCTACTTCGCCACCAGGGGCTCCTATTATGTAGGTAAAGGTTTTCTCTGACATTAAGTCTAGTTGTGTCCAACTCATCTTCATTTCTAAGCCAAAGAACTTAGAAGGTGTTGTCCATACACACCTCCAAGGTCATGTGGCCAACATGACTGCATGGAGTGCCATTATCTTCTCGCAGAAGCGGTATCTAACTATGTATCTACTCACATTTGTATTTTTTTTAACTGCTAGGTTGACAGAAGCAGGGTCGAACAGCAGGAGCTCACCCTCTCCCCGGATATGAACAGCCAACCTTTGGTCAACAAGTTCAGTAGCTCAGTGGTTTAACCTACTGCTCATCTCATTATCTATATAAATAAAAATGTAATGTTCGTTTGTGGGATTAACAGAACTCAAAAACCACTGGATGAATTGACACCAAATTTGGACACAAGACACCTAACAACTCAATGTATGTCCTTCACTCAAAAAATGATTTTGTCATTTGGGAGTTGTAATTGCTGGGATTTATAGTTCACCTACAATCAAAGAGCATTCTGAACCCCACCAACGATGGAATTGAACCAAACTTGGCACACAATTCTCCCATGACCAACAGAAAATATTGGAAGGATTGGTGGGCAGTGTCCTTTGAGTTGTAGTTCACCTACATCCAGAGATCACTGTCGACTCAAACAATGATGGGTCTGGACCAAACTCTACACAAAGACTCAATGTGTAGAGTCTTTGTGAACACTGGTGGAGTTTGGGGAAAATAGAATCTTGACATTCTGAACCCCGCCAATGATAGAATTAGGCCAAACCTCCCACACAGAACCCCCATGTGGGCCACAGCAACGTGTGGCAGGGGACGGCTAGTGTACATATATGCAAATATAAATATTTCAAACCTCAAAAAAATGCCAAATTCAAAACAGTTCTGGTTCCAAGCATTACAAATAAGGGATACTCAACTGATAATAATGATGATGATATTACCTGATTTGGATCCACATCATAGCCATGTTTCGTTCCAAGTGTTCTGCCCATGGCCAGATTGATCACATATCCCACAATGGCAAGTGAAAATGCTGTGCCAATCATGTCTTTCCACTTGCTCACCTCAGGAATACTGACTGATGGAAAGCTAAACCAAAAAAAGAAAAGGAAAAAAGGAACAGGGAAGTCATGAAGGGAAGCCATGAAGGGAAGTAGTGGCAATTGAAACCAAGAGGACAGGCTGGGAGCATTTTTTTCCCTAATGAGAAAGTAAGGTTCAGTTCAGCCACCATTAAGATATAGACAGCACTGGGTAAATATATAACCACTAATCACAATGTATTTAAGGATAAATAGCGAACTGAACTGGAACTATAGATGTCATGCTATTTAACAGGAATTGAGGACTCTATATGCAATAAAATTTAAAAAAAACTATGCTAGTCAAAGCTTGGGCAATACTAATTTTCACTGCAGGATTATTATACAGTTTGGCATAAAATCATGAGCTTGGATTGCTCATATTTCAACACAGGTCAGTCGATGTTGTTTCAACTTTTTCTGCTGTTGTTGCATGATTGCCATCATTTTTGAAATGCTTGTTTTTATTTTTTAGGATTGCTAGCTACTTTAAACTTTAAGAAAATTTTGAAACCTTTCAGTTAACCAAATTGATTGGTCCTGCCTCAGACCGTGACTCAGCACACAATATTATGACACTGCACAATTCTTGAGTAGTGACTCTGAGGTTCTGCTAGAATGTGATTTGGTAATTTGATCCATCTGTCTCCCACATCTGCCACTCCATTGGAAACCCTTCCAGACTAGCTTGTACACTAAGGCTCCACTATATGCTACTTTTACAATTCAGTTGCTACTGTGGAATCTCTCCATTGTGGCTGGCTACCTCAATGCAGTGGCCATACACATATGTTTTCTTGTAAGTGGCCCAAATTCAGTGGCACTGTGCCATGGCACTTGGAGCTAACAGGCAATGAGATGTCAGCAAAGGAAATATCCACATAATCAGTCTGTCCACAAAAAACCAAATCATATATAGGTAAAGGTTTCCCCCTGAAATTAAGTCCAGTCATGTCAGACTCTGGGGTTTGGTGCTCATCTCCATTTCTAAGCCGAAGAGCCAGTGTTGTCCATATACACCTCCAAGGTCATGTGGCTAGCATGACTGCATGGAATGCCATTACCTTCCTGCTACCTTGATCTACTCACATTTGCATGTTTTTGAACTGCTAGGTTGGCAGAAGCTGGGGCTGACAGCGGAAGCTTACACCGCTCCCCGGATTCAAACCTGTGACCTTTTGGTCAAAAAGTTTAGCAGCTCAGTGGGTTAACCCTCTGCACTACCAGGGGCTCCCTGACATCATATATATAATATAAATCATAGAAATCATATATACATTATCAATATTGCTTGAGAAACCTCTCCAGGAATCATATTTTCTATCAAACTCCAAAGACTATGTATTAGGCCAAAAGATTTATGATGTTAGTTGGATTGAAGATATTTCCTTCAGCATAGGTATGTAGCTTTAATGTCAATCTTATTATAATGAATTACATAGCATAGGCAAGTCTGTCACGTTTCATACAGCAGTTATTATTATGTACTTTATAATTACTCTGTCCTTGTAAATTCATTAACAGATGACTTGAACAGATCAGGGCTTGCAGACATTATCCATGTTGAGTCTGCCCTACTTTTCACTCGAACTTGTAGCAACATCCATTTATTGGCAACTTGAAGGCTTTTTTCAGTTTGTTTTACATAAAGGTTTACAGTTTTGTTATCTTTAGCATGCCTGATGGCTAACACTGTAAAGCAGTGGTTCCACACCTTTTTTTGACCAGGGTCCACTTTGACCAGGTCCGCTTGACCAGGGCCCACTTTGACCAGGGTCCATGGACCAGATTTTTGTTCTCGCGATCCACTGCCGGGCCACAGCCCACAGGTTGAGAACCACTGCTGTAAACTAATGAGAAAGGGAGCAGGACTTTATAATAGTATGGATTTTTTTAAAAAAGTCTTTTACTTTTGTTTCTTTTCACTGTTCCCAGCTATACCACCATTATTATTATTATTATTATTATTATTATTATTATTATTATTATTATTACCCTGCTTTATCTCCCCAAAGGGGACTCAATTCACAAGATGTTATTTCCTGTTTCTATGTCTTCCATGTCATATTCAGGAAGGAGTTTATTATCAAATAGATTGGAATTAATGTATCAGCATCACAAGATTGGTCTCATTCCGGAAATGAAGGAGTTTGGGAAAAGAGAATAATCTATTGGTTTACTTACCCCATATTAATATGTCCAACTACTGGCATATCATATTTCTCAGGCATATTAAAGCTTCCAGAAACTGCAGTAGCTATGATGACCTGAAATCAAAGCATTAAAAATGTTGTAGCTTCATGGTGGATTATTCGTCATGTACCTGTATAAATTTAGATGTGCTAAAATCCATCCAATTAGTTTACTGATGAAGTATATTTATACCTCAACTTTCTCCTAAAGAATGTCATTCAAAGTTCCAAAATGTAGCAATAATAAAAACAATGAAAACAAAACAAAGTATAATATAAAACCAATTTAATATACAGAGAAATGTTATTCATTAAAAGAAGAAATTCCATGAAAAGAACAAGATTAATTGCCAAAGGCATATCTAAATAAAATACCCATTGCTGTTTCGGCAGTTAGAAATGGCTCCAAGCATCTCCTTGGCAGAGCCTTGCCAGTGACATAATTTCTGGTGCTCTCTCCTGACCTCACCGAAGGTAAAGTCACCACTATGGCTGTGTCAGGGAGCTGTTTCCAGCTGGCAAAAGATCAGAAGTGGCAGCGCCCAGGAGGCCAGGGCACTACTGACAATGTGCTGGTGGGCTGGCTGGCCACATGGACCCCAAAAGATATCCAGGGTTTCCACAACACTAGGTGTGCATCAGGGCAGCTCTGAAGGCGTTTACATTAGTATTTTGGCTAGTGTAGATGCAGACTAGGGTCTCACCTGAAGATTTGAATCCCAAGGCAAACTTACACTTTATAAGATAATATAGTAAAACAATAGATGTAATCATATAAAATACGCAACCAGCAGAAATGGTAAAACCCAATTTTAAGTTTCTCAGAATTGCCTTTCTATAGTGATACAAATATACATTGATTACATGCTTTGTTTGGGGTAGAGAATTGTGCTTCTAGGGGAATTGTACTTCATGATTCCCTTAGAAAAATAAGAAGTATGCCCATATTTTACCCCAAAAATGAGATTTATTTCACTATCTGTGCCTCTCAATTCAGTAACACTTTCCACACTCATTCACAACAGAGTTTCTGGGGATCGCCAGTATAGACTGTGGGAATCTCAGGCCACTGCCATATAATTCAGATTATCAAAGGAGATAATCCACATTATTTACTTTAAACTGGATTATATCAGTCTACACTGTCATACAATCCATACAATCCAACCTCTCAACAAAGGATCCCCAGGCAGCAACCAACCAAGCTTTGAAGCTGCAAGGCCATTCAATGCAAATCAAACATTCTCCATCCATTGGTCACTGGCCTGGCCCATCTGTCAAATTTTTAAATGCAATGTGACCCCTGTGTCAAAAAGTTTGTTGAGAAATGTTTGCCTCAAAAAGGGATCCATGGCTTTAAAAATTTGAGAACTTCTGCATTAGACTATTCATTCCCTTTGTATGAAAGGCTTAGGGACAATTAAAATACGAAGAGGGCTGCATATTCCTGATGATAAGCCTGCTACAATAGGATTTTCTCAAAGATACATACATAAGTAAACAGACTTGCAAATGAAATCTATGTCTAGCTAATATGAAAGTAAGATTCAGTTCAGCCATCATTGAGATACAGACAGCAATGGATAAATATATAATCATTAATCACAATGCATTTAACAACAAATGGCAAGCTGAACTGGAACTACAGATGTTATCCCATTTAGCAGGAATTGAGTACTCCATCTGCAATAAATACTTCCAAAACTAAAAGAAATAACTATACCAGTCAAAGCTTGGGTGATGCTAATTTTCATTGCAGGATTATTATGCAGTTTGGCTTAAAGTCATGAAATTGGATTGCTCATATTTTAGTAGAAATCGCTTTGATGTCGTTTCAACTTATACCACTGTCGTTACCCTATTGTCATCATTCTTGAGGAGCTTGTTTTTAATGCTTTATGATTGCCAGCTACTTTGAAATTTTGCAACCTTTCAGATAAATGAATTCATTTGTCCTACACTCAGACTGTGACTCAGCACACAACACTATGACACTGCACAATTCTTGAGTAGTGACTCTGAGGTGCTGCAAGAATGTGATTTGGTAGTTTAATCCATCTGTCTCCCACATCTGCCACTCTATTGGAAACCCATCCAGACTGGGACATGCACTGACCCCCCCCCCCCCCATTTTAGCAATTCAGTTACTACTGTTGAAGCTCTCCATTGTGGCTGGATCTCAGCAACCATTCACATCTGTGACTGAAAAAAGGTTAGGGGACGAACCAATAGACAAGAATTGCATTGTTTTTTAACTGAGAATTTGTTGTTGAGGATTGTCTGGTCAATTTTAGTTGATGGTGACGCTATGACTGAAAGACCCCCATGTCACCCTACAATCAACAGCCCAGAGGAAACACTTGGATACAACGAAGTTCAGCACTACTTCTAGTGACTCAGTTACATTGTATTCACACAGCCCAGCAGGCCTTCAAATAACAACAAGATACTGTTATTTGACATGCTACTTTTTAAGGGACTGAGTACCAGAAAAAGCCTTGTGGCTTCCATTCCTGGCATATGGCAAGGGAAAGAAAGCTGAACATAATGCCTCATCATAATTCACTTTTGCCAGAAGTCCTGAGGGCTGGGCATTAGATTGGAGCTCTTGTCTCTTCTTTTTAGCAAGATTTTGGTCACTTGTGTCCTGATCTTGGCAAGTTGAAGTGATATTGGAGTATAGCTGCATGTTATATGCACTTAGATCTGTGAATGGATTTCCTTTCGAAGTCTGTTCCCAAGCTTTTTTGTTCTAAAGATAATTTCAACAGCTCAGCTAGAGAAAATGATATATAAAAGTGTAGCTGTTTATTTTAGAGAGCAATATGAGATTTATATTTTCTGGACAACTCTTCTGTATGTTGAATTTTCTGAAAGAAAATTAACGTCAATTTTTCCTGTTTGTCTATAGCTTTTTTTCAAGTCAGAAGCGACTTGAGAAACTGCTAGTTGCTTCTGGTGTGAGAGAATTGGCTGTCTGCAAGGACGTTGTCCAGGGGATGGCCAGATGTTTTTTGATGTTTTACCATCCTTGTGGGAACTTCTCTCATGCAGGGGAGCTGGAGCTGACAGAGGGAAGTCATCCACACTCTCCCCGGATTCGAACCTATGAGCTATCAGTCTTCAGTCCTGCTGGCACAAGAGTTTAACCCACTGTGCCACTGGGGGCTCCTTGTTTATAGGTACCACCAGCAGATTAATTTGTGCCTCATATCTTTCTATACAACTGTACATACAAGGAAAGAAAGGGCTAACAATGACTACTCAACAATAGTTGTACTTCGTCCCCTGGTGGCATAATGGGTTAAACCCTTGTGCTGGCAGGACTGCTGACCAAAAGATCAGTGGTACGAATCCAGGGAGCAGGATGAGCTCCAGCTTCTCATGCAGGGACATGAGAGAAGCCTCCCATAAAACATCTGTCCCCTGGGCAACGTCCTTGCAGATGGCCAATTCTCTCACACCAGAAGCGACTTGCAGTTTCTCAAGTCACTCCTGACATGGAAAAAAAATCTTTAGTATCAGAGGCATTCCGCTTTGTTACACACATTTCTAGGACTCAAAACCAGGAGAGTGCTCCTATCGTCATGTCCTACTTGGGACTTCTCATAAACACCTGGTAAGCCACTGCAGGAAAAAAAAATGCAAGACTGCATAAGCTTTTCATTTGAATTAGTACAGATCTTATTATGTTCAAACGGTTGCAATAGCAAACTGTGGAATAACTGCAAATTGACACCAAAGGCAACATCTGTCAAAATTTTGCATTTTGCCGAGCTCTAATCACATGCTCCCTAGATGCCAGATCATTCATTGGCCTCTTTCCTCCCCCAATCATCTAAGGCATGTGGGCATCTTACTACACTTTCCTGTATTATCACGTTTCATTATGTTGACACGTTTCCTGTTATAAAGCCCAGTGATGTTTTCACTCAGACTCATTGAAACATGAGTCTAGGTTGACCTGAATAGACCAGTCCTTCTTCTCCCTTCCCCAGTGCTCCCAGGTAAACAAAATAGCATTCCTGATGATTCCATGAAGAGTGTAACTTTGCAGTGCTCTTTATCTATACCAGAAACCTAGGTCTTCAATAGTGTTACCACCAGAAGTTTTAGTTAGAATGAGAATGTACATCACAATATTTTAATTTCAGTACTCTGCATGTTGTGTACAAAGAAGCAGTAACTAGGACTTCATGTACCAGCAGGTAAGTTCCCTCATGCGTAATGAACTGGCTGATTCAGAAACCACTTTGGTTTCTTTCATTCTCTGAAATCTAAGCAAACAGTTCAGTGTTTGATGACAACAGATCTTCCTTAGTATTGGCTTCTTAATAGTTGCTATTACAGATGAAACAAGGCTTTCACTTCAGTAGCATTTTGTCCTGATTCCTGATTTAAGTCTATCTTGATCCTGTTTTCAGCTCCTAGTCCAGTCTTTCCACCTGCTACTGAAACACATACAGTAACTCACTCCTTGATTCTTTCCTAAATTACTGGAAACAATATCTAAGGAAGCCACAACAGAACATGTGAAGAAGAGGTTCCCTTTACCTTCCCAACAATTTCTTGACTGCCTCTATTTTTTTATCCACATGTTACAATTTGGGAGAGCAGCATTTCTTGTGGAATTGCATCTGAGTAGATTCCCTCCCAGTTCAGTATCTGTTTTCTCAAAACACCTCTTGAAAGTTCAAAAGAGATGGAAAGAGATCAGTAGTGTTAAACTTGTGCGCCACCAGGTGTTTTGGATTTCACCTCCCAGAATTCCTGGCCATTGGACAAACTTGCTAGAGTTTCTGGGAATTGGAGGCGTAAACATCTGGAGGGCCACAAGTTTGACACCTCTGAAAGAGACTCAAGTAAGTAAATAGTGCTGTTGGCAGTCCATCTCAGAACTATCCACCATTTAAAATCATACTGCTAAAGGACAATTTCCTGATTGTAAAGCAGGGGAGTGCTTACTCACTTACTAAAAATTCTAAAGAGGAATGAATTACTGTAACTTAAGTGTTCACAAATGGGGAGTGTAGCTCTTTCTTCATCATGTCACTGACTCATTCTGATGGGTGGCTATCATTCACATGAATGATAGTCCTGTTTGGTGGCATGTTTTGAGAAATCAAATATTCTCTGAGATCAACAAGTGAAGTGCTATTGGCATATATATGTGTGTGTGTGTGTGTGTCTTAGTAAAAATAAAAACCTTGCAGCATCCTAAATACCAATAAATGTAAACGGATCTCATGAAGTCCTAATGGTTTTACAAAAAAAAAAAAAGTTCAATGCAACACAATAACATTTGTACTTTTTGTGCAAAGGAAAAACCAACCAAGCTCCAATCCCAAAAGATTACTAATGTGATCACAGGCACACCAATATCCTTAAGTTGAATTAAACCTGAGCATAGTATTTCATTAAGCAGTGAATCGTTGCAATTGCATCCTCTATTTTGGACTACTTTAATAGTCAACAGTTCCTTTACAAATGTATCCTTGCCTCTGAGAAAGGAGGGCACAAACGGCAATGAGAGCCCTCTAATAACTGCTTAGACAGACACAGAAAGTATCTCGGGAACTGCTACTTACTATAATGATCTCCATAGGAATGGGAACTCGGATTTTTTTCATGTATTTTATGTTCAACTCTTTCACAATAATCAGGAGCACAGAGCTGATCAAGGAAAACACGAGAGAGGCGATGTTGGTCTTTGGCAGATTTTTACAAATGTCGATAAAAGTCTAGGGGATGGAAAAGGAGAAAAGGATTAAGCAAGGAAGCTCATACCATCAGGACTTGAACATATGGCCCATGTGAAGTCATTTTGAACTGAATCAATCTATCTGGAACAATGTTGTCATTGTTGCTTTACATTAATGCTGCAACAGTTTAGGCAGGATGTTTTCCTTTTCCAGAGAAAACTGAAGCTTTCTGCATGGAAAGTGTATGATGGACTACTGACCTTTGTCACCTCTTTGTCATCGTTTTTCTACTTCCAAATGCAAAGACTGTACCTCAGTGATCATTACTTAGCCTAGGAAGCACTGGCATCACAACAGTTGGTGTCACCTGTTAACTCATGGTGTCACCTCCATGGAGCTCCTCCCATCTAGACCATACAGAATCCTTAGCCATGTTTTTTGTACTCACATTACTCATAAATCCTAATTCTCATATATCATTGAATGTAATGACAAAATCATGGAGCCATTGTAGTGTAGTGGTTCAAGTATGTCTGGAGACTAGGGTTTCAATCTCCACTTGACCATGAAAACCTATTGGGTGACGTTGGGCAAGTCACAGCCTCTTAGCTTTAGAAAATGTTGTGATAGGTGAACCTTAGAATTACCATAAGTCAGAAAGGACTTTAAGGCATACAAAAACAACTTCTACTACTATTACTACCACTACTACCTCCCGGCCCCCGGCCCTATATATATATATATATACAAGTTTAAACATACAATTCAAAGTGTTGAGTAATAATGACAGCCCTGACCACACCACAATTGCACTGGATGTTCAAAAAGCAAATAGGCATAGAATTTTAGCTTTGTAAGTATATTGTTACTGTTGTGAGTCAGCATTCTGATACCATACCTACTACCAGTAGTAGGAGAAGAAGAAGGAGTGATGCAGTACATGTAAGCTAGATCTATGAGAAATGTTTTTGTGGTTATATCTAACTTCAGGGATATTTTTATTACAAAAATACAATTTTTCTGAAATATTGTATGAAAAGTTTAAGGTAAAGGTTTCCCCTGACATTAAGTCTAGTCATGTCCAACTCTGGGGGGCGGTACTCATCTCCATTTCTAAGCTGAAGAGCCGGCGTTGTCCATAGACACCTCCAAGGTCATGTGGCTGGCATGATTGCATGGAGCCCCATTACCTTCCTGCAGAAGCAGTACCTACTGATCTGCTTACATTTGCATGTTTTTGAACTGCTAGGTTAGCAGAAGCTGGGCCTAACAGTGGGGCCTCACCCCGCTCCCTGGATTCAAACTGCCAACCTTTTGGTCAGCAAGTTGAGCTGCTCAGTGGTTTAACCTGCTGCATCACCAGGGGGCACGCAAAAAGTTTATAGACAGTCATTTTAGTGTCTGATGGTGTTATCTGGTGCAGTTTGCACACACGCACACATCACACTCACTGGTGATATCCCTACTAGGAGGCTGTACCTGACTGTAGTAGCCAGTCCTCAAAGCAGCTGAAGAAGAAGAAGGTTTATTTATACCCTGCTTTTTCTCTCCACAAAGGAGATTCAAAGCAGCTTACATTAAAAGCATTTAAATGTACAAATACAAATATTAAAACAGAATTATACATCAATGGTGTTTAAAAATTCACAGTTAAAATCTATAAAAACTGATGAAAAATCACAGCACCCCCTAAATTGATCTTAAAAGCCTTCTTCTTCAAAAGTCTGCCTGAATAAAAAGGTTTTAGCATGCCACTGGAAGGGCAGCAGGGAGGGGGTCAATTCTGGCTTCCCTGAGCAGAGAGTTCCAGAGTCGAGGGGCAGCCACTGAGAAGGCCTGCTCTCGTGTTCCCACCAACTGCACTTGAGCTGGAGGTGAGACTGAGAGAAGGGCTTCTCCTGAAGATATCCGGTCCCAGGCAGGTTCGTATAAGGGGATAAGGTTAACCAAATACCCTGGACCTGAACTGCCGAGGGCTTTAAAGGTCATAACCAGCACTTGGAATTGTGCCCAGAAACAGACTGGCAGCCAGTGGAGCTCCTGCAACAGGGGGGTTGTCCACTCTCTGCAGCCAGCTTCAGTTAGCAACCTGGCAGCAGCTCACAAAGTAAAGAAGCTGCAGTCCCTTTAGAAGCCAACTATGAGCTAATTATAGGCTCAATAAGTAGGGCCTGACCAGACGGGATGCATTTAATCTAACTTGTTTCCGATGATGGCATCTAGTTGAGACCTTAGAAGAAGGTTCAGGAGGTTGACAGCATGGAACTCTGGATTAATTGCATGCAATCTTTCTCATAATGCCTTGTAATTAAAGTTTGGTTGAATTAATTGCAACCCTTGTTACTTAGGTGTGCATTCCCTAGTAGTATAAGGAAAGCACTCCAGCACCTTTCAAGAGTTGCCTAGGAGGGGCATGTGTTCCAGGTACAACTTCTCTTGTTAAAGCAAATTAAAATCTGTTTTCCCTGTAAGATTTGACAGAATTTCCAACTATTTTCTTTCTCCTTAAGCAGCACTATCTTCTTAAACTCCACTTTTATTCACTCAAGGCAATTCATTGGATAAAGATAATATTTTCTTTCAAGAAGATTTGAAGGAGTTGTTTGTTCTTCTATAAGAAAAAAACTAAGTCATTTCAACTCAAAGTGGTGGCCTGTGGAGCAGTATTGGTCTGTGAACCAATGGCTTCCACTCTGCAGGAAGCTTTCAGGAGAAAGGAAGTAGTTGCAGTCATCAACATAATACGAATCCATGGAACAACAGGGGAAAAATACTCATGATCCAGATTAAATAGCCTAATGAGCATTGATCTAAGTGACCTTTTAAATTCACATACAGAAGGCCCTTCACATTAGCAGGTTTGACTTTTACAGATCTGATTATTCACAGATTTGATCAATTTCTCTCTCTACAAATCTCTAGGTCCTTTAGTGCAACTTTATGGTCAGCTTCCAATGCAGATTGATCATTGAATCATACTGGAAGACCTAAACATTCCTAGAAAGATATTCAAGCAAAAGATGATGATGAAAAAGGAGGAGAAGAAGCAACAGCAGCAATTTTGTACATTTGTGTTTCTTCACTTTCATGGGTGTCCTGTGCCCCTAACCACAGAGAATTTGTAGGGCTGACTATAATACTAGTTTGCATTCCTCATAAGTTCAATATACATTTACCTCAAGAAATAATGCATCCACATCTTTCCAAATTGGTTTATATACTTCTACAGCACAAGCAAATTCGGACAGCATTTATAACACCAATTTCATGTGATTCACTTACATAGACAATGGCAAGGGGCCCTGTGTAGGATTCAATCTTCACGCCAAAGACATATTTGAGCACTGAGATCAGGATTTGTAAACCAGCTGCCGTCATGAAACCCCTGATGAAGGACTCGGAAAGGTAGATAGCAACAAAGCCAAACTGCACAAATCCTAAGCATATCTATGGAGAGAAAGACAAGCAGATGTATTAGACAGAATAATGAATAGAATCTCTCACGGAGATAGCTTGCAGTTCATAGTAAACCATGAAATACTTTGTATGTGTGGGTGTGAATGCCATATCTCTTCCAAATGGAATTTCCCCAGAAATCCCCCAGTGTAGGACTGTGGCATAAGTCTGACTTATGTGATCCCTCCCAACTGCTGGAGAGATGAGGTAAGAGAAATTGAGGCAAGGCAGCCAGGGAACGCTGTGGTTTAATTCCTGGAAAGAGTATCTCCACTAATTTGAGACTTACATTTTGAAAATGGACACTTTATATGGCAAATAACAGCGTTTTCTGTAAGGAGTGCTGGTGGGAGGGAGCGTTACCTCTTCATTTTACCAGAAGGGTACACTGGAGTATGCTATATGGTAAACAAAGAAATTGTTCTATTCTCTGATCAAGGAGTGTGTCTGTCTGTCTGTCTATTCATCCATCCATCCATCTTCTTTTTCAACTAGTAGTTGCAAAATGTGCCCAAAAAAAAGTCTCTATATGGATATAGTTCAGAATCACTAACAAGCTAGAACTTATCCAGAGAAGGGCAACCTAAATGATAATAGGTTTGTAAGCCATGCCCTACAAAGAGCTGCTTAGGGAGTTTGGTACTTTTAGTTTGGAGAAAAGAAGGCCAAGAGGGAACATGGTAGCCAAGTTTGAATATCTGAAAGACATCACATTGAGGAGAAGGCAGGCTTGTTTCCTGCTGCTCTGGAGACTAGGACACAGAACAATGGATTCAAACTGTAGGAAAAGAGATTCCACCTAAATATAAGGAAGAAACAAGGAGAGGATAATAGCATCCTACAGACCAGTGGTTCTCAACCTGAAGGTCCCCAGGTATTTTGGCCCAGAACTCCCAAAAAATCCCAGCCAGTTTACCAACTGTTAATATTTCTGGAAGTTGAAGGCCAAAACATCTGGGGACCCACAGGTTGAGAACCACTGTTATAGACCAAATTACCGTATATTCCGGCATATAAGGCGACTGGGCGTATAAGACGACCCCCAACTTTTCCAGTTAAAATATAGAGTTAAGATGACTCCCATGCATAAGACTACACCCATGTATAAGACGACCCCTGACTTTTGAGAAGATTTTCTTGGGTTAAAAAGTAGTCTTATACGCCAGAATATACTGTACTTGTTCTGTCACTGAAACTGTAAATACCCTTGACATGTCTCAGTGTTGGTGTAGTCATCCCTCAGTATCAGCAAACATTCAGCTCAATGCTAAACAGTCTGGATGTTCTACAGTTTTGAATATAATGCAGCCTTACCTGTATTATAGCTGTCAAGCAAGCCAAGGTGGCTGAGATTTCCAGCCTGGCTGCTTCCATGGCTGTGTTGTTCACCATCTGCTCATTGCTTGTATAATTGAAGTAGTAAAATTCAGATTCAGGAGCCAACTCATGGCAAACATTTCCCACAATAATACTGATGACTGCAAAAGTACCTATGAGAAATACACAAATGTTGGTTGCAATTTTCATACGAAGCTTCTTCACATTTATTCAGGGCCAAAAGCTGCTGATATGAACCTCCAGCTTTACCGTACTTTACCCCTCTCAGCATACTCTGTACCCTCTTCCCATTTCGTATAAGCAAGGGAAAGCTTTTCTATCCATCAGAGATAAGGGATTTCCTCTTCTGTAAGTAATTTAACTAAGCTCGCTATTCAGAGTAAATAGATTTTCTTTGCATTCCAGACTGCCAACCCAAAACTGCATTTCTGCTTCTATCAAGCCTCCTTTAATGCAAATGAGAGCTTTTTTAAAAAAAATAACTGCAAGGAAAGTGGTAAAGAAGGGAGAATCATTCTGACCCTTTTGTCTTTGATGGATGGGTAGCATGACTGGAAACAAAGTGACAGATAATTGTTGTACAACAAGATCTACTAGTTAGTTTTCTCTCAGTCTTACAACTGGCTCACAAAACTAAGTCTCTACAGCAGGGTGGGAAAGGTTCAGGATGCATACCATGTGCAGAACCAATTTTGCAACCCTCTAAAGGCATCCAAAATTTGCCCCCAAATGACCTCTAGGTGTCAATGGAGAGCATTTCTGTTATATTTCAAGGTCTTCTAAGGGTCAAGAAAACATTTTGCAAAAATTTAAAAAATCATTTTGCCCCAAAATGTTCTCTATGAAGTATGATGAGGCATGTCCACCATATGTGTATGTGTGTGTGTTTGTGTGTGTGTGTAGTTCTACAAAACATTGTGAAAATGCTCCATATGCCTCTCAAATGGTGTTTTTCATGTATGTATGTATGTATGTATGTATGTATTTTTGTGCAGTGGATGCAGTGCAGTCCCTTAGTCTTTCACAGTTGGCCATCCCTTCCACAGTCATTAATAAAGCTGTAACAACAAATTGAAAGTGGGAGCAAATGGAATACATCTTGAGGAAGTAAATCCACTCTCTGGAGAGAACAGTTATGTTTATTTAGACACTGAGATAGACAATATGGTCTTACCTGGGACCATCTGATGAACACCACCAAGTAGGAAATAGGTTATCAGAGGAAAGAAGGAAGAATAGAGTCCGTTAACTGGAGGAAGGTTGGCCAGTAGAGCAAAAGCCATGCCTGTAAAGTAAAAATGAAAAATATATCTCAGAGCTTCTGGTGGAAGCATACCATAGAATTGTCTGGAGCAGTTAGAAAATACCTAAAGAGAACATATTTTATCAGATGCAGGTAAATAAATTTGTTCCCTGAGTCATACTGTATTTTAAAATCCTCCACACTGAGGAGCTACATCATTGCAATTTAATGGAAGAAGAGAAGTAGGAATAATAAAACCTGTTCTACTACTCACATATCTTATCTTGACAATTATGAGTTTGGATTTTAAGATTTTTTCCTGGAACTCAGAAAGCCATTAAGAGGCAGAAAGAGGAGGAAGAAAGTGAAAGATAATGGAAATATGTAAGGAGATGTGGCATCATAAGACAATAAATGTGAGAAATATTGGAATTTCTTTTGCAGGGAAGGACAGACAAAAAAAACACTGTCTAGAAATACCCAGACACATTATTTCTGCATTTAAAGGCAGATAAATGGTATGCAAGAGACATCCAAAAGACCTGTGTTGACATATATACCTCAGCTCATATTTCTTCCTCCAGAAATTCATGATAGGAGATTCTTAAATATGTGGACCAAGACATCATTTTACACATGAGTGATTCTCACAAATATGAACCAAAACAAAACTTTAAAACAACTTGAATAGTGAGATTCACAAGGCCATAGATAGGAACAAACGACATACCTGGATTTTAAACCCATGGTTTACACGAAATAGGATATAGAGGTGGATGCCTAAATGTTCTATGGAGAAAATATCCAAGGAAAGTTTGGACAGCATGGATAAGGCAATGTTCTCTCACCTTGAGGCACTTGAATAGTTCCTGCGCTGATTCCACCAAGGACATCAGGAATAATGTAATCTTTGATTTTGTATTTTGGAAGCCATACAAGTATAGGAAACAGGCTATAAAGAATGAGTTTGAATCTGGATGGTGAACATCTTGAAAGAAAAGAGGAAAGTCATCATGAAATCAATCAGGAACAATTTCACTGTAAATTTCTTTGTGTTCAGCTATAAGGGAGCTGGCGATCCATTACCCAAAATAATAATGAGACACATAGTAGAAGAAACATTTTTGCCTTCTGAGTTCCCGACCTTCTCTGGGTGAATAGAGATATATGTAACATACTACCCTTCCCCACCCCTTAACATCTGAAGCACTAGAATGGGGTCCAGACAAGTCTCCCTTCCAATGTGTCTGTCCAAGGGCGGGGGTCCTCACTTTTTCCCAAAGGGGGAAGCAACACAAATAAAACCATATGCTGTTAAAAAAAACATACAGAAATCAAAATTAAAGTAGTATTACACTATCCATGAAGTTAAAATATTTGGTGATATTAAAAGAACTAAATATTAAAAGGATTTAAAGCATTAGAAAGTATTCAATAAAATTAATACATCACACTAAAATGGAGAATTTTTGCATATATAAAATCTGTTCCCAAATGCTTGCTGAAATAGGAAATCCTTCACCAAGAGATGGAATGACACCAAGGCCGCTTCCAGATACTGCAAAAACCCTGAAGGAAGCAGGTGAAAATAACCCACTTCCTCCTGGGTTTCCATCCCCACCCCCAACCCAAACCTTGGGCTTTTCCCTGAGGGGTGGCTAGATGTCATCCTGGGTCAATCAAAGGTTAACCTGGGATGGCATTCAGCCAGTTTTCTCCACATTAATTTGCTTTTACCAGATGTGTTGTTTGGACCTGTTTGGAAGAGCCCCAAGAAAAGAGCCAGACTTGCTTCCCTGGAAAGGGAGTTCTTTAGTCTGGGGGCAACCACAGAAAAGTCCCTATCTCCCTATCCTCCCAAAATGCGAATACCCTCCCCTAGGAGATCCAATTGGATTTCTTGCAAATGGTACATGTTTTTAAGCTGTTTTTTCTCAACATGCATATTTTAGCCTTTCAAGATTATTATTGTTTACAATTCCATATTGATTTAATTTTTAAATTGTTTTTACTAAAACTCTGTGATATGAGATATCCATATGCAAATAAAATAAATTAAAGCAAAGTAGTCTGCTGCCTTTAGATGTGAAGCCTGGACACTATCCAATTGCTAGTGTCAGAGTAAGATTTCCCTATACAGGGAAAGCCATTTTGTTTTTTGCCTTAAGCAGCACAATGTCTTGGGACAGCCCTGCTAAATCCTACTTGGCAGAGCAAAAAAAAGAAAAAGAAAAAAAGACTGGGCGTGTGAAGTTTTGTACCTCTATAGTGTTGGCACGAGGAACAACCGAAATATAGATCACTCTCATTATTCATAATTAGTCTCTTACTTGCTTTAGTGTTGTAATGCGTCAGTATCCCGTTATCTCATCCTCCACTGAACTTTGGAGACCACATTACTTAGCCAAATATTCTTACTGTTTGCTCAGGATTGTTTTCCAGTTATGTTACATTAAACGTTAGCATGACCTTCAACATTACACAGATATAAATCAGGACACATGAGGCCAAACAACGTAATAGTGTGGTCAAGATGGCAAAAGTTGTTAATGAGGAAGAGCACACAAGCAGTTCATTTTTCCTTGGGTCTAATAGGGAGGTTTAGGTTTTTACTTCCTCCTCTCCTCTCTGCTGAGTTAATTCAGTACTTTTGTACTCTGAGCTCAGCTTGTAGCAATGGAAGTAAGCATAGAACAAAGGGGGAAGTGGGAGATAGACATTGACATTTTAAAAGCAGCAGGAAATTCAAGACAACAGAGAATTAACTGGGACGGATCCTGCCAAATCAACTGGAAGGTATGCGTTAAGGATCCTGTGTCCATACCAAAAGAAATTCGGAGCAAAATTATGGTATGGAAAATGTTACTGTCATGATAAACATGAGTGTAATAAACCACCACATTATTAGTCTGGGCAGCTCTTTGACAGCTGCTCAGAGCTTAGCTAATAGAACGAAGCAATTCTCCATGGCCTACTTCAGCACTGGGATATGAGAAATCAACAGGATGTAAAACCCAGGACACTTAGCACCTTGGCCTTATGAGTGAATATTTACATCACAGATGGCCCTATTGCTGCAAGAGAACCTCCTCCAAATGCTACCTAGTACTGAGTCAGAATATAGTTGCAAATTTAAGAACATAAACATTTAAGCATTTCACAATCTGGTCCTATGAATGTTTATTTTAAATATTGTCTTCTTGCTTCTAGAGAACTTCCTCCTAATGGCTGCCATTGGAGGACGGCTCCATTATAGACCTGGTAGTTTCTATACCTGACGGAGAGCAGCTCACCAAGGTGTTAGATGTAAGGCTATCTGAACCTTAAATTGGAGATGCTGAAAACTGAAGCTGGGACTTTCTGCATTGAAAGCATGTGTCCCATCCCACTTTGATGGTCTTTCCTAAGTTTGTGTAACACTTATGGCTTAAAGTTGCAGTTTTATAATTTGATTCTGTTTGCTAAGCAAAGACAAGATCACAAACGGTTTTAAAAATACACAATCGTAGGTTTATGAAGATAACATTGAACTGTTTTAGCCCTTAGGGCTAACAAATACTAGGCACCTGAATCTCTGGCAGGATCTACACTGACATATGATCTAGTATCTGATCCCAGATTATCTGCTTTGAACTGGATTATATGAGTCTACACTGCTACACTGATAATCAAAGCAGATAATCTGGTGTGAGAAACTAGATAATATGGAAGTGTACATGGACCATAAGTTTATTTCTTATTCAGAAGTGAATCTGATCCCAATACTAGTATCTTTCATTATACAGTTATAGCCACTAATTGTCATGGTTTCATCTTACAGAATCATGAGGTTTGTACTTTCCAGAGTTATCCAGAAATCTCTATCAGAGAAGTCTAATGCCTTATAAAACTGTTTTATCAAACTGTTATAATTGTGCAGTGCAGATGCAAACCTGATAAAGAAATACAGAGGTTGGGTGCATGTACATTACAGAATCATGGCGATATTACCCTATTTTGACTGTCATGGTTCCATCTAGTGGGATCATAGGGTTTCTAGTGCACTTCAATACTAGAGCTCCCTGGCTGTGAATTCAATACCCTCCCCTGAACTGTCAATACCAGGATTACACAGAGTGGTACCATGGTGGTTAAAGTGGAATAATAACACTATAATTCTGTAGTTTGAATGGGTCCATTAGTGTCACACCTAAGGAACCAAAGGTAAACAGATAAGGACCTGGGCCACAGAACATTGTTGAAAGGCTAGACATTTTCCTCAAGCCTGGTGAGTGACCATGTTGGGTGAGTGATTCTGGGAGTTGCCATCCAAAAACATAATGCTTCCACATTCTGCACAAAACTTCTTAGCTAAAGGAAGAACACAGGCAAATAACAGAAAGAGCAGGTTGCTGGCACAGGCATGAGAGTGGTTGCAGCCATACTTCCCTTTCAGTGGCATTCACAGCTTGCAACAGACTGCCTAATTCAGTGTGAGAATCATCAAGCACATTTGGTGTTGTTCTTTCCATATTAACTAACATTATTGGCTTTGCTTATGGATGGATGGCATCCTTGAAGTGACTGGACTGACCTTGAGGGAGCTGGGGGTGGTAACGGCCGACAGGGAGCTCTGGCGTGGGCTGGTCCATGAGGTCACGAAGAGTCGGAGACGACTGAACGAATGAACAACAACATTGGCTTTGCTTATCTTTATTTAACAAATGTGTAAACTATGTAACATTTCCAAATACATAAGTGGTGTGTCTGATTAAAACCTCATTTAACCATAGTAAAACACATACATTCATGCTATTTAGTAGCTGGTAATATACTTAGCTAGAATGGTACATTGGGAAGATTTGCGGTAATAAAAAAGGGTTTTAACATGCACTAGAAACTTGGTATCATTGGCATGTGCCTAATGTCCATGGGAAGATATATATACAAAGACTTCCGTAATTTTTTTAAAAAGCTGTCACTGCTAATAGAAACCCTGATCTTAATAGCTGTCATGCAAATTCTGTGATCCTGGGATCACCTAGGGAAGGACCAAACAGCCTTCCCTAGATGATTACATTAACCAGGTAAGGATATAAGGGATCAAAAGGTACGTGGATGATCTGCTCCAAGTTGTTAAAGGTTTAAAACTCTTAATTATGTTTTGGTAGCAAATAAGTAGGCAACACTTCTGCTGTGTTCAGATTTACTGCAAAGAATATATTTTACATATATTACGACCACTGCTAGAATTGTTTTTGCTAGAGAATGGAAGCAAGAGTCAGCCCCACCCATACAGGAATGGGTGGAGAAAATGAGAGAAATAAAGGACATGGACAAATTGACTTTTTTGTTGAAGAAAAATACAGGCAAGATAATGAGAAGAATGAATTGGGACGATCTTCAGGACTATCTGGACAATTTGGGAAAATAAAAAACAAGAAAGACAATTTTATTATGTTTATTATAATTTTTAATATTTTTGAATAATAAGAAAATACTATCCAAGAAGATGGAATGGAAGTCATTTTTGTTTTTTGTTTTTTTGTTGTTCTTTTTTTGTGTGGGTGTATTTTTGTAGAATGTATTTTAGAGTCTTTTTTATCTATGCTCTTTCTCTCTTTCTTCACTTTTCTATATCTTTATTGTTCTCACTCTTTCGTTGTATTTTATACAAAATTTAATAAAACTTCTTTTTTAAAAAAAGATTTACTGCAAAGAAATACAGCTTATGCTAGACAAAAGCATTAAATAATTGTAATACATGGCTAAGGCAATGCTTAATATTTGTTTTGCTACTCTTCACCAAATGTTAATGTAGCCTGTATAAGAGACAAGTGGGACCTTTCCCACTGAAGCAGGTTCTTCTACATTAGGAATCTATGACTATTTTTCCCCCTGAATAGCAGTGTTTCCTTTTTGCTTTTTAAAAATAATATAAAAAATTGCACAGAGACCAGTTATTCCATTGGCATGATTCCATAAATTTGTCCACTTAAGAGACCATTCAGTCACACTGGGGGCCACCTAAATCTAAAGTCAACACAGGCGTTATTGTGTAGTCCAAAGTAATGGGTCCAGTTTACTTAAGTAGTGCTTGCTTGGCTATGCATTAGCCTATGTCACTCAATACTCAAGAAACTTTTGCCATAGAAGACTGATATCAATGTTCTATGCTTGATGTTCAATGTTCAATGTTCTGTGCTTGACTGAGAATTGTTTTATTTGTGTACTTGGGTTGTATTTTAATGTATATTTGTGAGTGCATTTTATGAGGTTAACTTCAAGTAATCTCAGTGTTCCTTCTATTACTTCCTTCTATTACACATCCAGCAAATCACTTCTGAATTAATTCGGAACAAAGTAGGGTTTCCCTGCTTTGTTCCAAATTAATTAAACACGTGGTAAGATCAAGATCATAGGTAAGATCCGGGTCTTACCAGATGCGGGCCCTGTGTGGATGTGGCCCAAGGACAGAGTCATGTTAATCCACATGGCTGTCTCCAGGAGCCCAAAAAACCAAGATGGTATCCACTCTATCTCCTGGAACATCATTTCCTCATGCCAGGAGGATGAGATGAGGAAGATAATTGTGGCCAGGTAAGGTTTTTTTAAAGGTAGGGGTTGTTTTGGGGGGCTTTGAGGTGACTGCATGCCATCCTAATAGTAATCAGAATGGAGTGCACACACACACACACACACACACACACACACCTGTTTTTTGGGGGGAGTGTGGGACTTAAACCCGCACTGAAGTGGGTTTTTAACCCTACTTTGATGCACATTTAAGTGATGTGTGGAAGTGCCTTGAGACACACTATGAAGTAACATCATGATATTAAATAACAGTATTTTCTCCATAGATTGTAGAATAGGCCCCAACCTAAAATGGAAGCTATGCTGGAGATATGATTATCAGGAAGTCTATGAACTATGAAAAGTTTAGAAACAATTAGTTACAATTACCAAGTGATTCCTTTCTGCAATAAATAAGGCAAGGGTCGGAGGAATTAATTATGTGTTTCTTCATTGATGGCTATATTGGGTTAGGATTGCTTGGATGTGCCATTCAGCAACATCTGGAAGGTGGCATGATCCCTCCACTAAATTAAAGCATAACTAAGATACACATTACATATTTAGTGACAATTCCCTCCTTTTCTGTAATGCTTCAGTATTTTATAGTTAGAGGAGTTTATGCTTAGATTTGTTACATCTTACAAGCCAGTGCTTCGCTGCAATCTGACTTTTCCTTACTTTTGTACTGCAAGAAAGTAGACATATTTTTGAAAAAAGAACTGCAGCTATAACACTAACCAATGATTGATGGGAAGATGCTTTGGAAATGTAAATAACTTTCCAACCTCTTGGTAATGTCTTACTGTATTCCAGAGACACATTCACCAGATTCCCAATTAGTCCTCCATTACCCAGCATGAAGAGCACAATACAGATATTAATACTAATATTAACAAGAATACATACTGATATCAATATTGTTGTTTTCTGAATGCGGCCCTTGTGTATCCAAAATAGTCCTTGCACAAGAAGGAAGTATCATAAAGCTCAGGGAAAATAAAATATTTTCACAAAAGAGAACATCTGGTGGGGAAAAATAAATGAGGAAGGAGGCATTATCCACCAACTCCACTTCTTTTTGATGGACAGGTCCAGATTCACCTCTTGCTCTTTCATTTTCTAACTGACCTTTCCCCTTTGACTTTTCCTTTCTCATATGTGTCTAGTTTCTTAGACTGTAGCCTCAGGGCACCAACTGTGTCTGATATATTGTTAAGTACCACACCTCATTTCTTCACACATAATATAACTACGGTAATAAATATATCAAGAAAAATAGTATGGAACCTGGGGACACTTTTTGATTAAGTGTGTCACTTTTACTTTGAATCCTTTTTGAAGCATAATGGTAAACTTGAATATTGTTTCTATTGCCTGTAGAAACTTCAGTGTGTTGTTGGACAACTTGCACATAAATCTCTTTGGACCAGGAACCTATGACTGGGAAGCTCTGTTCATGGTTGACACAAATGTATTCCTGTTCTTAATGACTGCCTAACTTTTCCAACATATTCCTAAAATATATAGCAGAAATGTAAAGTTAAAAGATGAGGCAGATTTCTTGGAAAGCATTCATTATTATTATTATTCATAAACACACAACACCAAATAACATGTGATGGTAGCAGTGAATTAGTACAGCCTTATCTGCATCCTTAACTATGTCTTTGTGATGCAGAAGGTTCTCTATATCTGTAGTTTGCTTATTCTAATGTCCCTTGACTTTCTCATTGGAAACAAACGTTTCTGCTCTTGAACAGTTAACCCATTAACATCAAAAGCAAACAAATAAATAAGTGTAAAATGCTTCTGATTTTCCATTCTCCATTCAGAATATATTTATAACAGAGCTGTCAAATACAACATTACCAATTGTAATCAAGTCCTGTTCAAAAAAGGTGGGAAAGAAGAACCAACAGGAGAAGGTAGAGAATAATAATAATAATAATAATAATAATAATAATAATAATAATTTATTACCTGCCTTTTATTATGGCTTCAGGCAGAGCACAACACAATTCAAATGCATAGTCATAATAAAATACATTCAATAAAAATATATTAAGATGACTACACATTATGGAAAATTGTACAGTTGCATTTTTGAATTGGAGGACTCATTAGCATCATTACTCCTGGTTTTCGCAAAGCAAGAGCATGGGCTAACGTATATCTACAAGGTTTCATTGAAAATTTGCATGAGTTTGTGCATCATTTAGCAGAGTACAACAATCTAGAGTGGGTATTTATGATACAACACCTATTTTCAAACATGCAACATACCTGAAAAGATGCTTTATTTTTTCTCCAAGAGGGTAACTTCTATTTTTCCTCTCAAACTCTTCATCAAAGTCTTTACTAGAATAAGCTGGGCGGTCGATGACATAACGTGGCCGAGCATCAGTCATTTTTGCTTCAGTTTAAGTCCTTCACCCCAGAAAGAAATGGAAGTAAAGTGGAATGAGAACTGAGCATCACCAAGAGAAAGACCATCAGTGAGGTAGGCTGCTCCTCTTTATCTCATTCCCATAAGTCTGGCTGAGATATTCCTTCCAAAAGTCCCGCCCTCTTTACTTCTCTATTTTTTTGTAGTCGAATGACTTGGACTACTTCTGAAGTGTCATTATATCTTGGCAGACTGCAATGGATTTTAAATAATCCATTCATTTATTGTGATGTGGGAGGTAGACAAAAACAAGCACGTGGCCAAATGTTAGGTCATGTGCCACGGCCACTGTATTGCTATTTAGCCTTGGGCAAGCCACTTGGCTTTCCTATACCATGGTTTCACCACAGAGGAAATGAGATTCATGATTGCCGTAAGGATGAATCAGCTCTATTCCTGCAAAGATGGGTTGTGTTGCAGGAAGACTTCACACATATTCCAGAATACCTATAAAAGGTGCTTGTGGATTCTGCCCATTGGTATCCTATTATTCCGCCTTTGCTTTGTGGACATTTAGAGCTACTGCTCTGAACCCTTTATAGCCGTGATCTGTAGTTCACTAAATATTCAATTAAACTAAGGACAACTAAGAATGTTATAGTTTGACCTATTTTAATTATAATAATGAGAAGCATTCCTGTTCAACCAGTCCTACATAGTATCAAGGTGTTTCCAGAGGCAGGTAATAAACTCCTCGAAGTGCAGGCTTAGTGTAAACAAAGCTATCAAAGGAGGTGAAAAGAACACCTTTGCAAGATGATAAGTCTAGAACAAGGATATGGATAATTACTTCAATGTTGTATTGAAGCACTTAGGTGTCTAACAAGTAGGCAAATGAGTGGGGAAGGAATTACTATCAGGGACCAGCAATCATGGATGATGTTATATGCTTCACGCGTGTGGAACAAATTCATCTAATCAATTAAAGGTGATGTTTTAAATGTTAGAACTGCTTTTATCTGATTAACTGGATAAGCACATAATCAATTCTAATTATTGTATACACATTCAGTTTTTAAATTACCGTTGAATTGTAGAATTGCAACACTAAAAATCAACATTTAATTAATTAATTAATTAATTAATGTATATCCCACCTTTTCCCCATGTTGTTTATAAAAGGAACAACAGTAAACTTCAACCAGTTCTTTTGAAGTCAGCCTTGCTTGATTCAACAACAACAAGAACAAAACTTTCTTGCAACACAAACATGAGCAATGAGAACAATATAACCAAACATTGAAAAGGAAAAGGAAACTTTAATTTATTTATTATTTATTTATTTCATTTCTACCCCACCTTTCCTGACCCTGGAGGGAACTCAAGGCGGCTTACAAATCTGGCAAAAATTCAAAGCCACACAGGTTAACAATAAAACATGTCTCATCAAAATATAAAACAATCTAAATTTAAAAGCAATTAAAACACATATCAATCAATCAAACAGATAAAAAACCATATAAATGCTGAATCATGATCTCATGTCCATAAAGAAGTTTGAAGCAAAACTAGCTAGAAAGGGGGGAAAAAGTATTGGTTTTAATCTCTTAAATAAATGTAGAAACCGCTGAGAATATTTGCTTGAGTAAGCCAATGTGATACAAAGGGTTTTTTGGTTTTTTTTTGGAAGAGGGATTGATGTTTGCTTTAGCTCTAGCATGGAGGGAAAGGGGGGAGCTTGAAGAGAGACTACACGAGAATGAGAATATTCTCCAGAAAGCCTGAGTTTTTGGAGATAATAATTAATTGATGCAATACATCTGTGCTAGAAGTGGTTGGGAACGAATAAATGGCTTTTGGAGCAACCTGTTTATCAAGCAATCTAACTGATTTTGGTAGAATAAGGCTCCAGTCCTAAACATGGTTAGTCAAGACTGAGTCCTGTTTGGATATAGAGATGGTTGCTTATAAATAAACATTCTCCAATATTTCACAGTTGAAAACCAAGACATATGTGGCTAAGCAGCATCAGAGTGAGGTCAAGACAGCAAAAGCACACAAGCCAGGAGGGGTTACAGTAGTTTGCTTTGGCCTGAGTCTACTGGAAAGGGCAAAACTCAGCCACTCTTCTCTCTCTCCTGTTGCATTGAGTATAAACTACTTTTGCACTTTGAACTTGGTTTATAGCACTGGTTCTCAACCTGTGGGGCCCCAGGTGTTTTGACCTATAGCTCCCAGAAATCCCAGCCAGTTTACTAGCTGTTAGGATCTGAGAGTTGAAGGCCAAACCATCTGGGAACCCACAGGCTGAGAACCACTGGTTTATAGCAACAAGGCTAAACTGAGGAGAAAGGAAGAAAATGGGAAGATTAGAGTGAAAACAGGACCATTTTTAAAACAGTTGAAAAAGTAGCCAATTAACTGGGACTGTCCTTATCATATTGGGACAGTTGGAAGGTATGAAGTGGTGCTGCGTGACTTGCATGAATTTTACTGAGAATTTGTCTTTTTCTTTTTTTGGCCCCTGGGAGATCTTGGATGAAAGACTTCACCTTGTGACCCACTTCTAAATGATTTCTTAAAAAAGAACCATCTGCTAGATTTATGTAAAGGTCTGAATATAAACTGGGAGTTAATGACAGGTGACCTTCTACACTCCACCCTGAGACCGCCTGAGGGAAGGAGAGGGAAAGGAAGGGGCAGCAGAGGTTGCCAGGGGTATGGCAAGTTTCTGCAAAAAGGGAAACTAATCATAGTTGTCAATCGAGGAATTTGGCCTTTGTCACTCCTTGTAGAATTTACACTGTAGATCTTTTCTCATGAGAATGTAACAAAGGGTTACTCATGGATCAGGCCCACTTGCTGGCTCCACTCTCTGTCTGGCAGATGTGCAAAAACCAATGAAACCATTCTGAGTAATGAACGCAGTTTAAGAGCTGTGGTGGGATACAGACCCAAAGTTGTTACACCAGTTTCTGCTCTTGCCCAATGTAAACTTTTCATTGGGACACTCATCATGTTGCCATTGAATTATAAATGCTCAAAACTTCAGGTCTTTGGGCAGATTCAGTATTGAATAGCTTTTAACAGGACAGAATTTGGGCAGGCTCCATATACATATTTTTATCATTGCCAAAACCTGGTATGAGATTACAGTTTGTTGCTTAGATCATAATGTTCTCATTCGTAACAAACTCAAGGTGTATTATAAACCATATCTTGTGTTTAAAACAAAAAGGAATATGTACATCCAAGGCTTTCAAAAGGCAACACATTCTCCTAACATGAAAGCGTGTGTCTGAATTCTATACATGCCTAAGAACTATTCTCACAGGTTGAAATGGAAACGTTTTTAAGAGTCATCATGGGTGTTTCTTCTCTCACTTTGGAAATTACTTCCTTGAGAGTTAATAGACTTATAAGCCAGATTAGCTTTTGGAAATCAACGCTACTATCCTTCCTTTCTTCAGACAGCTCAAGGCAACCTGCATGGTTCTCTCCATTCCCCTATGGTCAATGTTCACTACTGTTTTTCTAGAAATTTCTGGTTCTCAGCACAACTCCATGGTTACCTTCCAGTGGAGAGCATTATCTTGAGCATTATCTGAGAATGATCCGATAGTGTTGTTCCAACATACACTTTCCATATGCTTTAGTCAAGGAACAAAATGAGGAAATTTTTTAACTTTCTTATCCAAGCAATTCTTAAACCCTTTGAAAAAAAGATTTTGGGGCAAAATGGAGATTTTATGAGGTACATTACAAAAAAACCAGGGCAAGTGACTAGCTTGATAACATTTTTGCAGCACTGGTCTGTACTTGTAATTGCTGTTGCAGTGGAACAGCACTGTTGAGATTAATCTTTTTAACCTTAGAAGGGGGAATTTTCCAGCAAATGCATGGGACCTAATTCAATACCCATAGTTTGGTCTTACATGCATACTTTGAGCTCATTTCATAGGCTTTCTTGGGAAAAGGAAATATATCAAGCAATCATCCCTCCCAACAGAATGAGTATCTGCAACAGTTTTGCATGTGGTATTTTAAATATACAGATACCAATTAAATAGAACTGCATCACACTATCATGGGGAAGACTATATTTGCTTTCAGCCTGTTGTTCATTTAATGTTCTGCTCCTCTTTTTCATCACCCAACATTTTCTACCTGAGGAAGCTATCACTCTCTATAATGGAAGAACTGGCCATGACAAAACAGGCAGAAGATTACTTCTATGGCACATGACCTACTGTTTCCACATAGCAAGATGATTTCATGATGACAGAAAGCTATGCTATAAATCAATGGTTCCCAACCTGTGGTCCATGGACCATCAGTAGTCCTCAAGAACTAAAATATGGTCTGCGGCCTCACTGTTACTACACCGTTGCAACAAGAGCATCTGGTCTCACGAAACCCTGTTATAGTGCCAGGGCAACTACTCATGTAAGGTGTGACAATAAGCCTCCTGACTGCTTCTCCTCCTCCTCCTTCCCCCTGAGTGGAGCCATTCCATCTGGTACCTGGAAGTGGGGGCACCTTGGTGTCTTCATTTTTAGGCCTGTCTCTCAGGTTATTTGGGGTGCTGATTCAGAAAATTGCTTTGAACAGACCACATCAGCTCTAAATTATTTAATATGGCTCTCTTTGGGCAAGCAGATGACAATTCACTGGATGGCATATATTCTGTATCAGAAACTAGAGCTGATATGGTCCATCCATTGCAATTTTCTGAGTCACCACCCCAAATAACTAAACTGAATATAAGGTTGACCAAAAACTGATTTGTAACCCTTTTAGTACTAATGTTGGAGAGTGGTCCCTGATCAAAGTGGTCCTAGTCAAGTGGTCCCTGGTCAAAAAAAAAAAAAAAAAAAAAAAGCTTGGGAACCACTGTTACTTTGTAACAGTGGTTCCCAAGGTGGAGAAGTATGTGTCTCTGAATATAATCTGAATGTGATTGTGAAGTTTCATACATATTTTATGAAGAGACTCTATAACAGCAATAATTGCAATGATTTTCTGAGTGGTGCTGTTCAAAGTATTGCTTAGTCAAGGCTACCTGCCATTCTAACATCTTACAAGCCCTATTCAAACATTGCCACACTTGCTCCTATGCTCCATGCGTTAATCAC